GAATTTTTTCTTGTTTGCTTTTAGCTCTTTTTGATTACCTGAGTTTTTAAAATCATGTAGTTATTAAGCACTGAATACATTTTAGTGTATTTCCTATTTCATTGTTTCGAGAAAGCCTAACTAGAAGGGGAAATCATAGCGAAAATAAAACCATTATAGACAAGTCTTCACTTGGAACTTTAAAGAGCCATTCTACATACATTCAATAATAACCACAAAAATCAAACCAAAACATGAATTGTGGTTGAAAAAAGAAGCATCAGGAGACTGGAAAAAGATATTCCTCTGTTATAAATGAAAGTATTAGGAACATAGAAATGTATGTATCTGTAATATTGATTTTTTTTTTTACTAAGGAAATTACAGTTTCTTTTGTTATACAAGTGAAGTATAGATCTTCATGCTCCAGATACCTCAGACAGCAACAATGGGCCACTGCATGTGGTAAGCTTGGAAGCAAGCAGACATACCTCAAGTACAGTAATTTTGAAATTAGTAGTGTGTGCTACTTTACTCTAGAAGATTTTTAACACTGCCTGGAATGGAACCCAGGGCTCATGCATGCTTGGTAAGCATTCTACTACAAGCCTGCATTAGAAAATGGGCTCTTTGGTTAGCTAAATCTGGGGATGCTATTTACACCTTCCTTTGAAAATCATATGCATGCAAGCATAGCAGTAACTTTTTTTTGGTTTTTCGAGACAGGGTTTCTCTGTGTAGCTTTGTGCCTTTCCTGGATCTCGCTCTGTAGACCAGGCTGGCCTCGAACTCACAGAGATCGCCTGCCTCTGCCTCCCTAGTGCTGGGATTAAAGGCGTGGGCCACCACCGCCCAGAGCAGTAACATTCTTGAGCTGCTTTAATAAGCAGATCAAAGTCAAATTTGGGGCTGGGGGTGTAGCTCAGCAGTAGAGTGTTGGCCCTGTTTTAGAAATACCCTGAGTTTGATCTCCAACACTGAAAACAAAAGTTAAGCTTGACCGAGTCTAGTGTGTTCCCACATCATGTGAGAACACTGTTTAGGGGAAGTAAGCTATTGCTTTAGTACAGTGCTGAAGGGAAATATCAATTTGGAAAACCATGGTCTTTTCAAATTCCCTTCAACTGAGGCTGAGCATATGCAGGGCCCTAGGTTTGATTCCTTCCCAGCACCCCAAGAAAAAACTTTACAACGGGTTGGGAGTGCAGGCTTGTGGTAGTATCTTACAAAGCATGCATGAGGCCCTGGTTTCCAACCCCAGTACCACTAAAACAAAATGTTAACAAAAACTGACACCAGAACACACACAGTAACTGAGGACTAGAGAGATCACACCTGTTAGCAGCAAAAGGCAGAACCTTGAACTTTAGCTCCCTATCCACAGGCCACAGTTGTTTCTACTGTAAATTATAAAATAGAACTCAAACAGTTAAACAATTAATTTACATTTAACATTTGGGTCACAGTGTCACATTTTCTGATTTGTGTTTATTTCACTGTTTTTAACTCTTTCTTAAAAATTGGGTCCCCCAAAGGAGGTACACCTGGAGATTTGCTCTCCCTTTAGTAATTCTGAGGAATGACCACGTTGAACTAAAAGTAACCATTAGAAGAAGGCATTCAGACTACCTGGGCTATAATTTACCTATAACTTCCGTCAGCTCAATGAAATCAAGAGGTTGACGATGAGGTGAGTCACATAGCACATAATGCCAGCCTATGTTATTCCTAAAAGGTCATATTACCATGAACAAATACAACTAACCTTAAAATGGCAAGAACTTCACACCAACATAAAGAGCTTGTACCACCAAAATGAGTTTTGTCTCCATAGTTCAGAGCCCTTAAATGAGGGAGATCCCTGTATTTTTCTAAAAACCCAAAGAACGTGTGCTTTGACTCCAACCTCTGAACCTGATGCTCCCTCAACCCCACAGAACTCCCGAGATAACGTAGGAACAAACACACATCATTTCCGTGGCCAGGAGAAAGTACAGTAGCGTGCCATTCCCGCCCCCTCAGGGTAAGGAGGGGAGCACCAGGTAAGTCTGGTCATAGTGCAACTTTCAAAGCCTTGGGAATCAAAGGTGAGGGCTGTTAACAACTTCCGTGTGCCAGCCCGACTTCCTCTTGGTGAACTTGGCCGTGCTCTCTCACCCTCTCTGCACGGGCACCCCCTCGGGCCTCGGCGTCGCCCCAATCAGAAAGGGACCCACCGGACTGGCGAGGCAACGCCGTGGCTGGGAGCCTCCAACAAAAGACGCCGCCGCCGGGCGCCCGCGCCCCGGTGGACACCTCCCCTTAGCCCCGCACCGGTTCTGCCCGCCGAGGCCGCGGACGGCTCTCGGGGGTCCCTCCCTCACCGCCCTTCCCCGGGCCGGGCCGGGCCCCGCTTCCCCTACGGCGGCGGGCACAGGTGGGGGCCGCCCGGGGGGGCGACACCCCGACGCCGCCACCAGCGCAGGCCGGCCCCGGAGCCGCCCTCCCGAACCGCGCCGCCCCGCATCTCGCCGCGCGACCGCGCCCGGGGGGGGGGGGGGGGGGGCGGGGACGCTGTTACCTGCCGCGGGCTCTGCCGCTCCCCGCCGGCGCCGCTCGCCTGGCAACCGCGGCAGCCGCACCAAGGCCGCCAGCCGAGGGCCTAGTGACAGCTACCAGCGTGCACCGCGCGCGCCCACGCCGGCGTCGACGTCGGCGGCCTCGAGCCCGCCCCCCGCCCCCCGCCCCCCCGCCCCTCCCGCCGCCGGCCGCTGCCGGGCCGGCCCGCGCTAGCTGGCGCCACAGCGCCCTCAGGCGGCCGATCGTGGAGGCGGCGGCGGCAGCGGCGAGAAAGGCGGGAGCAGGTGTTTTCAACCAGCCGGAAGAGAACCTGGGGCGGAGGGAGAGGGGGGGATTGAAGACAGCTTCGAAGTCTTATTTTAAGTACGATCCAGAGGGTCCATCCATATACTGCATACGAGTTAATTTCAGGCTCAGGGTCCGTGTGGAATTGAGAGACAGTTTAGCACGGTTTGGTGTCTAGTCTTCTTTTCAAATTTACAGTTACTCCAAAGAGTTTTGTCTGGACCGTAGCATTAGGAATATTGAAAGTTTTCACAAATATTTTTTGTGTGTACAAGTGTTAAAACACTTATGATGAGCGTACTGTTCTGAGAATGCTGTGTTATTTCGCTATGTGTCAATATTTAAGCATTTTACATTCCTTAGTGTGAAACGTGGAAGGTGACAGTTGTCCTTCAAATAAATGTGTTCACACCGAATAGTAGTTTTTTTTCTTTTTTAGTAGTTTTCTTGTTTTTCTGAAGATTATTTACTTATATTTTATGTGTAATAATGCCTATAATGTATGTGCATGTCTGGAACCCAAAATGAGTCGGATGCCCTGGAGCTGGAGTTGTAAGAAGTGATGAGCAGAAGGATGTGAGTGCTGGAAACCTAACTTCCCAGTCCTCTGGAAGAGCAGCAAGTGCTCTTAACTGATGAGCCAACTCTCTCGCCCCAGCTTTTATTCTTTAAACTATTATTCCCACCCAAGACTTCACATTGTTGGGATGAAATAGGAATTTGTGCAACAATATGGTAAACGTTAAAGCACCTTAAAGGCTGACGAGAAAACCTCTCTGACGTTACTGTTCTTCACTATACTACAGACTGTTTTGTTTTGAGGCAGGGTCTTGCCACAGAGCCCTGGATGGCCCTGCACTCACTATACAGCCAAAACTGCCCTTGAACTTGCAGCAGTTCTCCTGCCTCAGCCTCCTTAATGCTGGGATTACAGGTAAGCACCAGAATGCGGCTTAAAGAACTTATTTAGAAATGCTTCAGGTTTGTTTGGTGTTGGGTAATTATGATTATGAAATGGAACAACAATAAATAGGATTTCTGTCCTGGCTAGTTTTATGTCAGCTTGACACAAGGTAGAGTCATCAGTAAGAAAGGAACCTCGATTGAGACAATGCCTCCATAAGATCCTGCTATAAGATGTTTTCTTAATTAGTGATTGATGGGGGAGGGCCCAGCTCCTGGTGGGTGGGGCTCTCCCTGGGCTGGTGGTCCTGGGTTCCATAAGAAAGCAGGCTGAGCAAAGCCCTGGGAGCAAGCCAGTAAGCAGCACCCTCCCATGGCTTCTGCATCAGCTCCTGCCTCCAGGATCCTGCCCTGTTTGAGCTTCTGTTCTGAGTTCCTTCAGTGAAAAGTGCTGTGGAAGTGTAAGCTGAATAAACCCTTTCCTCCCCAAGTTTCTTTGGCCATGGTGTTTCATGACAGCAATAGTAACCCTAAGACAACCTCTATACAGCTATCATGACTTTAAAGAAGTCCTCTATACAAGCTATCATGACTTTAAAGAAGTCCTATTGAAATTCTGTGGCCTGATATATTTATTTGTTTATACCACACCATATACTTTACTGTGTCAAACTTTCAAAATGTATCTTGCAGTAGCAATGAAATTATGACTTCCCTGAGTCTTTTATTTCTGCAGCATAGGGGGTGTGTACATCAGCAATTACTCATTTTCTTTTTGCTTCTCAAAAGTTGTATGATTAGACCCTTTAACCCAAGATACAAGACTCCATCCACTGTCTTTTCATGGCTTACATTTTTGCGGCTCCTTCAGTCTTGGAGCTATCATGTCTAAAGCGAATGCAGTGCCCCATCAATCTTTGACATTTTGGTTGCATCGGTCGGAAGCTAATAAACAGTCCTTGTTCCAGAAAAGGGGATTCAGATAAGGTGGGCTTTGGACCTGGGGAAAGCACCCGCCTCTACTGTCTCTGCTCTGTTATCTTCCTCGTCCCTACCCCAGCCATCCAGAGGAGCCCTCCCCCCCCCCCCCCCCCCCCCCCCCAGTCTGAGCTTTCTGTTCATTTCAGGGATGGAACTGCTCCGATCAAGGCCATCCCTCATCTTTACAGTGGAGACCAGCTCTGCTCTTTGTGCCTCCCTGTCCTACACCAAGGAGCGGGTTTGGGGGAAGGTGTACTCCAGGGTCGGGAGCCTCCGCAGTGCGTCCTCTGCCCGGAAGGCGGCGCTGTAGCCGACAGTCGCCGACCTCCCGATCCCGCCCGGCCGCCGCGCTGCCTCCGCCTGGGAGCCGCCTGCGACACGTGCTCCCTCCCACTCCGCCTGGGTCCTGGTAACTGCGGGCTCGGTCTCGCGTGGGGGGCCTGCGTGGGCCATGGCGGTGGCTGCGGCGAAAACGCGCCTGTTCCTGGAAGTGCGGAGACGGCTGCAGAGCGCGCTGCTAATCCTGAGGTGAGGGCGGAGGCGCCGGTGCGCGGGACCCAGGCGCTGGTGCACGTGCGCGCGGAACAGGAGCGCGGACGCGCGGGACCGAGGGGGCGAGCGCGTGGGCCCGTAGGCGCGTGCACGAGACAGTGTGCGCATGCGTGGGACGGGTGGGCTGGTGGACTTAATCTCTTACGTTTGCCTGGCAAGCACTTTAGCCACTGAACCATCTCCCCTGTCCATCTGCAAACTTGTAATTTCATATTTGCTACACAAAACAGAAACTTGGCGGGAAAATGCACTTTTTTTGTTTTTTGTTTTTCAAGCAGGGTTTCTCTGTGTATCTTCGGAGCCTGTCCTGGAGCTCTCTCTGTAGACCAGGCTGGCTTGGAACTCACAGAGATCTGCCTGCCTCTGCCTCCTGAGTGCTGGGATTAAAGGCATGCACCACCACAGCCCAGCTGAAAATTCACTTTTGTTGCTTATGGTCAGTAATTTTAATGGTTTGTGATCTCTTCATAGGTTTTGCCTGTTTACTTTGTGACAAGTGTTTCGAATAGACTTAGATCTGAAAATGTATTATAGAGTATCGCAGCTGTATTATTATTATTATTATTATTATTATTATTATTATTATTATTATATTATTATTATTTTAGCGTTTTCTCTTTTCTGAAATCTGCCAAGTAGCTAGAATGGCATTTTGGATATGGCCTGAGAACTGAGCATGAATCCTAGCTTCCTCACAAGGAAGGAAGGGTAGAATAATGTTACCTGAATTTCCTCAGTTTTAAGATTGAGATTAAGTCTAGGCTCGGTGCAAATCATTTGCCTAGAGTGTACAGGTCCTGAGTTCTCTCCCTAGTATGGCGGTGAAGGGTGAAGAGATAGATAAAGGAGTGGGGTCATAATTTCAAACAAATATCTGCAATTTCTGTCCACCTTGTTTGGAAATTAAGAGAGTAAACATTACCAAATACAGCTCCTTATCCCCCCATACAAACAAAACAAAACTCTGTGTTATGCCCAGATCGTAGGGACCCCCCAAAAGACCACCACAGAGACTGAGTCCCGCATGTAAAAGCAAAGAGCCTTTATTGAAGCTCCGGGGCTTGGTCCCTCTGTCTGTCTGACTCAGTGGTGAGCAGAGAACCCTGAGCTCAGGTGGGGTGGGGTTTTTAATCATAGCAGAGGTGAGGGGGTTTCCAGGGTTCAGGACCCTGACTGGCTGACAATTGTCTAAGGATATCTTGGTAAGAAGGGGAAATAGGTGTGTGCTAGGCTCAAGGACATCTGGCCACCTTATCTAATGGTTCAAATGTTTGGGATGTTAGGTATTTCCTCTTCCCTGGGTAGATCCCAGGGTGGTGTCAGCTTAAGGCTTTTCCTGGATCTGGGTGTTGCCTGCCAGTAATCCTATCACAGAAGCTGTGTCTAGGTCCCTAAGCTTGTCATGGCAGCTGTGTGGTCAAGCTATTTTGGGGCCCCTCCACAGTAAGCAAGTTGATGACCCATTCTACTTTACTAGACAGCTTGTTTGTCTCTCTGGTCTTTTGACTGTTGACCTGTAACACCAATCACTTCCCTTACCCTAGTAATAACCATGGTCTGGTTTCATTCAACCATTCCACACAATGTCACTGTTTCTTGAACTGTGTTGACATGTGTGTTAGTCAGGGTTCTCTAGAGTAACAATTTATTGAGTGAATCTCTGTATATATAGAAAGGGGATTTATTAGAAGGATTTACAGGCTGCAGTCCCGCTAATCCAACAGTGGCTGCCTATGAATGGAAAGTCCAAGAATCTAGTAGTTGCTTAGTCCATGAATGAAGCTGGATGTCTCAGCTGGTCTTCAGTATACTTTGGAATCCCAAAGAAGTAGGCTCTAATTCTAGTGAAGGGATGAACTTGCCAGTGAGAGTGAGGGCAAGCAGGCAAAGAGCGAAGAGCTTCCTTTTTTGTGTCCTAATATAGGCTTCCAGCAGAATGTGTGGCCCAGGTTAGAGGTGGCTTATCCCAGCTCAGAAGATATGGATAATAAAGGCATGTCTTCCTACCTCAAAGGTCTGGATTAGAAGTGAATCTTCCTATTTCAAATTAAGCAAAAGTCACTCACAGGTGTGTACTCCATTTTGGTGTTTTAGTTAATTCCAGATGTGGCCAAGTTGACATAGTTTTCTTTTTTTAAAAAAGATTTTATTATTTATTTATGTATATGAGTGCTTTATCTGCATATACAACTTTATGCCAGAAGAGGGCATCAGATCCCACTGGAGATGGTTGTGAAGCCACCATGTGGTTGCTGGGAGTTGAACTCAGAACCTCTGGAAGAGCAGGCAGTGCTCTTAACCACTGAGCCATCTCTCCAGCCCGTAGTTTTGGTTTCTATCCGCTTTCCCCAACATTTTTTTGGGTGGGTGGGTGGGGTTTTCAGTGGCTGGTATAAATTACTATGTAAACCAGATTGGCCTTGAACTCACAGAGATCTGCCTGCCTCTGTCTCCACAGCACTGGGAACCTTTAACAGGGCTTTGGGATTCATTGTTCCTCTATGTTATTGCTTATATTAGTATTCCTTTCCTGTTTCTTATTGAGCAATTTTCCATTGTCTGAGTATTCCGCAAACCACTTGCTCATTCTTCTATTGCTGGATGTTTTGTTATTTCCAGAAAGCGTTCATTATGAGTCAGCTGCATTAGATTTGCTTTTATAAGATTTATGTGTATGAGGGGCTGGGTATTTGAGCTAGGCAAGGGCTCTTGCCCCTGAGCCCCAGCCCCAGCCTTGTTGAATGTCTTTTTATGACATGTATACCCTTGAATGAATATCTAAGGGTGAAAATACTGACGTGAAGGACAGCTGTGTTCATTGCTTTGTGAGAAACTGTCAAACAGTTCTCAGATGTGGTCAGTCTCTATGGTTTGAGCCATCCTAATGAGATGAGGAGATGTTTCATGGTGGTTTTAATTTCCATGGTGATTTAAAAGGTTGGGCACTTTTTCATCTACTTTTTGATAATGCAAATGTGTTATTTTGTAAAGTATCTTATGGTTTCTAGCTAATAAAAACAAGTAAATCTCTAGTTAATAAAAACAGGTGAGTCTTGTTGCTAAGTTGAAACAATATAGAGCCATTATAAGTACGTGTGGATGGATGTCTTCCTGCATCTGTGGCAGACATTTTCACTTTCCTAATACAGGTTGGGTATGCCTCATTGGAAGAGGTCTGGGTGAGCCTGAGGTGATTTGGGGCTTTTCTAGAGTTTGTAGTGTTTGCATAAACTTGTTAAGCATCCCTAATCTGGAAATCCAAAGTGGTATGTGTTACGGTCCTGTACATGTGCAGCTCGGGGTCTTGCATCTTACATCATCACCGGGCGCTGGCGAATACATCCCCGCTTTAAGAGCTGGACATGGGCCCTCACCCTCTCTCTGTCCTCTGCTCTGTCTCTTCTCTGCTCCCTGCTTCCCTCCCCCACCAGACCTGGCTCTCTTCCCTCCTATCCCCTACTTCTTTCTAATAAAGCTCTTTGTAACTCTGGCCATGGCCGGTGACTTTTCCAAGGGTAGCCAGCGCCACCACCAGTGCCATTTATCATAACCATCAGTATGGATCTGAATCATTTTCATTCCAGGGCATTTTGTCCTTTTGGTTTAGGGATACTCAGTATCTTTTGATGATGTCTTTTGATGAGCTGAAATTTAAATCTTAACAAAATCCAGTTTCTCAAGTTTTTTTAAACAGCCTTTTCTAATGTCTTCAGCCTTTGCCTACTTCAACTTTGTGATTACTTCCCCCTCCTCAGGTTTCTTTTATCCTTGTGTTTATTTAGAAATGAGTCTTGCTGTGCTAGCCAAGGCTGACCCTGGGCTCTACTTTTCTGCATTTGTTTTCTAGGAGTGCTACCCCTTTTGTTTTGCTTCTATCTCTGGCATATTGGATTAATCTTCATGTTCACAGTAAAGTAGGAGTCAAAGTTTATTTATTTTATTTTATTTTTTTTAAATTAGTTGAGTGTAATGCTGCGCACCTTTTAAAAAAATTTATTATTCTTTTATATACATTGGTGTCTTGCATGCATGTATGTCTGTGTGAGGGTGTCAGATCTTGGAGTTACAGGCAGTTGTTAGCTGCCATGTGGGTGCTGGGAATTGAACTAAGGACCTCTGGAAGAGCAGTCAGTGCTCTTAACCACAGAGCCATCTCTCCAGCCCTTATTTTTTACGTATGGATATCCAGTTGTTCCATGACCCTTTATTACCACCGTAATTTTTCTCATTGGATAGCTCATCATCTGTAAGAGAAATCAGTTCACTACACTGTTTGTGTGGACATCCCTTTCTGCCTGTATACTTTAAACCTTTGTCTTCACAAGTGATTTTGTTTTTCAAGTAGCATACGGTTGAGTGTTTTTGTCAAGTAAATTTTCACAACCTCTGTGTATTCACTAGAATTTTTAGTACTTTTATTTCTTCATATGGTTGAGTTTGGCTCCTCATCTTTTATTTTTTTTTTAACTTTTCTATTAGCGTTTTAAAGTTAGTAGTACAAAGTGATGGGTTTTTTTTAAATAAAATCTTTATTGACAAATAATTCACATAGTATACAATTTGCCTGTTTGCACAATTTGATAGACTTTAGTCCCACATCCTCATAGGCCCATGACATCATCACCACTCTCACTTTAGAACATCGCTATCCTCAATTTCATATACATATATAATGTATGGTGATTACATTCTACCTTATTTTTTTAAATGAACATAATATTTGCATTTGTAACCATTTTTAAGTTCACAATTCAGTGGCATGAATTACTTTCAAGATATTAATTACATTCATGATCTTCATTAATTATACTCATGATATTTATTACATTTGTGGTATTCATTGATTACATTCGCGGTATCCATTCAATAGCTATGTTTATGATATTCATTAATTACATTAATTGTATTGATTTTTTTACATCCTTGATATTATGTCCTGATACTCCATTTGTGGGGCTTTTCCAAGGTGATGGGTTTTGTTATGGCTTTTGTACATACGCTGTTTCTGTTGCCCCTTTGCTCCACCCACATCCCCACCAGCGGGCCCCTCCCTTCCCAGTTGTTCTTCTGCTTCATGGCAAAGGTGTTCTGTTACTTTATTTTCCCCTCTCATCTCTCTGCTTCCTTAAACCTCATTTCTCATTCTCACTGTCCCGTTTCTCACTGTATGACCTATATCTACACACACACACACACACACACACACACACACACACACACACACACATATATATGATCCACAGCAGCTGGGTGTGGTGGTTCACACCTTTAATCCCAGCACTCAGGAGAAAGAGGCAGGCAGATCTCTGAGTTTGAGGCCAGCCTGATCTGCAGAGCGAGTTCCAGGACAGCAGGACTACCCAGAGAAACCCTGTCTCGATAAAACCAAAAAAGAAAGAAAAGAAAAAACCTGGAGGGTGGGATCTAGGATCCATATATGAGAGAAAACATAATATTTGACTGAGTTTGAATTAGTACAATAAGCTCCATTTCCATCTATTTTCCTGAAAGTGCCATGATTTCACTTTTCTTTCTGGCAGAATAAAATTTCATTCTGTATATGGAGCACCTTTACGTTGTCCATTCATGCAGGCTGGGTCCATTTCCTTACCATTGTGAATAGTGCAGCAATAGACACGGATGTGCATGTAGCTCTTTGGTAGACTTAAGAGTCCTTCAGATACATATCCATGTAGTTCAATCATGTGGTCATTTTAATTTTAGTTTTGAGAAACTTCCATACTGATTTCTACAGGGGCTATACCAGTTTACATACTGGCTCATAGTGGCTATGGATGAAAGAACAGTGGTCAGGAAATTAAAAACAAAAACAAACACGTTAAAATAAAATACTGAATAGAGGGGAATACCTGGAAAAACACAACAGACAAAGGTGAGGGGTGGAGAATAAGTCTCTTATTCAATGTAGCATTTGCTTAACAAACTGAATGGGACGGGGTCCAGAATAGGAGATGCCAAGTGGAAGAAAGCATGAAGGAGTGGTACCATTGTGGTTTGGATATGAAGTGCCAAGTATTTAATAACCTGATTTCTGGTAACAAAATAAATGAAAGGCAGCATTTGATAATTTCTGTGATGTAAATATTTTCACCATGATGACACTTAGTCTTCAATATTTGCAGATTTTCTGTTACTTGTATATCCCTGAATCTTACACAACATTGTAAGGATGCTAGCTGTTCTTCAGTGAGATATACGGTCCTGGGATAGCTTTAAGGTGGCTGTGACCCTTAATAACAATAGTAAGAATGCCTCAAGAACAATGGCCAATGCCACCGAAGTTTCAGCAGAGGACACTTGACTTCCTTTGTTTCCCTGTTGACTTTGCTGCATAGTGTGGTGTAGGCTCATCTCATTTTTTTTACTTTCTACCCGAGTCCTGATGTAGTTCCCCCTAAGGAACCCTATTGCTTTGCTTTTTAAAACAATTTAAAAATATTTACTGGTTGGGTGGGGCAGTGCATGCCTGTAATCCCAACAGTTTTGAGATTTGGAGGGCAGAGGATCAGGAATTCTGTGTCATCCATTACTTCGTTTGAGGCTGGATTAGGATACATGAGACCTTGCCTTAAAAAGTGTATATGTGTGAATATGTGTGTGTGTGTCTGTATTGTGTGTGTGTGCATGCATGTCTGTAGCTGGAAAGTTTCTCTCTAGGTCCCACCAAGCCCCTGAAGTTCCACAGCCCGCTTATTAAATAATCACTCTGAAGCTTATATTAATTAAAACTGCTCGGCCATAAGCTCAGGCTTACTACTGACTAGCTTTTACACTTAAACTCAGCCCATTTCCATTAATCTATATGTCGCCACATTCTTCTGTGTCTTCACCTGTATGCCATCACATGCTGCTCCCTGGACGGCAGGTTGGCATCTCCTGACTCAGCCTTCCTCTTCCCAGAATTCTCTTCGTCTGCTTATTCCACCTATACTTCCTACCTGGCTGCTGGCCAATTAGCGTTTTATTAAACCAGTGTACAAAAGCATTATCCCACAGCATTTCCATTTTTCTGTTTAATTAAAAAGGAAAATTTTAACTTTAACATAGTAAAATTATATATAACAAAACAGTTATGAAGCAAGAATTACAGTTACAATATCTAGTCTATTTATAATTAGCAAATTAAAAAAAATTTTATTAATCCTATATTTGTGAGTCCAAGGTTTCATATCTACCTTATCTCTTATCATAACAAAGCAAAACCATAATTATAACTATCTACTCTTCAACTACATCAAAGACCTCAGAAGGATATAATATTACTTAAGTAAACAGAAAGAGCATTGTAAGCAACTTTCAAAAATCTAGAATGATAGAGACAACTGGCTGCCTGGACAGTCACCCAAAGTTCTTCTGCAACGTTGGGGCATCCATTTTTAGCCTACAGGCCTAGAGTCTCTCAGTAGCTTTTATGTGTCCTGTAGAATGTCTGGCAGTCTTCTCTGCAAAGCAGAAACCTGAAGGACCATGTCATCTTGTAAAGTTCAGTGGTCACCTTCATATGGGTCCTGCATGTCTAGTTTATATAACATACTATCCATCAGTTGACTCGAGGGCACTTTTTTGCCCAGTGGCTAACTTTTGACATAAAGAAAGCAATATTATTTCCTTCTTTGGTCTCTGAGGGAGATGAAGATTAGATAGTTGTAGTTACAGTTCTCCTTGTTAAGAAATTTCATAAAAGAAACTCACCAAGGAAGTGTAAAGTATATAGATTTCAAAGACATTATAAGATAGTTTTCTCTTGGTAATACAAGGTAGGATAGAAAGTGAATTAGGTACATTTTGGACTCATCAAAATAGGATAGATAATGGAATATTTTCTCTGAATTTGTCAGTGCAAATGGACTAGACATTGTTGATGTATGTATTGCTTGTATATATTATATATAGTTATTGTACTTATTGTATATAGTTTTTCTTATATTAGTTATAACTTTTTTAATGTTTTAAAAATTTTTATTAGTCAAAAAATGAGAAATGGGGTGATATTTTATTCGTGCTGAAATGTAATATTTTATTTGTATGTTAATAAATGAAGTTTGCCTGGAGATCAGAGGAAATAGCAAGCCATTTTAAGTAAACACAAATCAGGCTGTGGTAGCACACAACCCTAATTCGATCACTTGGCAGGCAGAGTCTCTGTGTGTTTAAGGCCATACTAGGAAACAGCCAAGCGTGGTGACACACGTCTTTAATCCCAATACCAACCATAGAGACCTGGAGGTCTGTACAGACAGGCAGTGACAAGGAAGTAAGATAGCTGGGCTAAGAGCCAATGAGAGGGCAGAAGAGCAAGGCAATGAAAGTCTGGGTAGACAGGAAATTGTGGCACTTTGGAAGCTGTGGTGTGGTGAGGTAAGGTTAGTTGGTGGCTATTTCTATTTCTCTGATCTCTAAGGCTTTCACCCCTATATTTGGCTCCATGTTTTTTATTTAATGAGACCACTTAGAAATTTGTCTACACATGTCTGTGTGTCTATGTGTGTGTGTGTGTGTGTGTGTGTGTGTGTGTGTGTGTGTGTGTATGTGTACAAATACATAGTGGGAGTCTAGTCTAGGGCCTTGCACAAGATACCAAATTAAATCCCCAGGACTGGTGCTCCTTACTATTGGAATGTCATTCCTTTGAGAAATAGGATACATAGGTGACATATTGTTGACTTATTTATGCATGTACATACATTCACATCTGTTTATATCGCTGTATCTATTTATGTACATCCCAACCGTGAATTCATAGAGGTATCCCTAGTTCTAGTCCGTTACCACAGGGTGCTTTCTAGCTTTCTCCCTCTTTTTCCCCCGATGTAACTGTGTTCTTGCACAGTACAAATCCTGACTTTCATTAGCTCATGATGTTTATCTCCCTGGTCAGTCTTCTGTGCAACCAGGATACTGCTGGGTCTTTTACTGTTACCTCTTCTCCCCTCTACCTGCTGTAACCCTCTTATAGCCCAAATGCTTGTGTCCTTGTGAAATCTATGGGGTTTAAATTCTAAGCCCGCAGAGAAGTGATGTGAGGAGGCCAGCCTCTGAGAGAGGTCATTGGGTTTCTGTGAGGTCATGAGGATGTAACCACTAGGATGAGGGTAATACAAGAAGAGAGAGAGACCCCCAGAGCTGCCTTCCTACATATTATCTTCTAGAGGCCATGTTGTTTATGGTACTGCCAATCTCCAGATCTGCAACTTCAGCATCCTCAGGATGAACACCAATACAGAAGACTTACATCTGTGTTGAATGTGTAAGCTTTCCTCCCTTGCTGTGATGACCTCCCAACAAGACAGTTCGAGAACTGTTGACATACAGTCCACTCTGTTTTGGGTGTTATCTGCAATGCAGACAGTGTACTTTCTGAACTTTGTTCAGCTCTGTGTAAGTGGTTGAAATTTTCAGAACTGGGAAGAGGAGTAGTCAGCCGAAGCAGTGGCCGGGGGCAGGGGGCTCAAGTGCCCAGTGGTCTCTTTGGGAGCACTTCTCAGTACCAGATGTGGTTTAAAATTACTGAGGTAGCAAAGTAGACACCAAACTACACACCTAATTGTGGCCTCTTTTGGCACAGCCTGTGAGCCAAGAGTTGTGTTTTTCTTTTGTTTGGAGTTTGTTGTTGTTTGAGACAGTCTCACTGTAGATCCCAGGCTGGTGGAGAACTCAGGAAATATTTATTCTCCGACTTTTTGCAGAAAGCTGGCTGGCGGCAGTGTTTCCCTGTGAACATCTTGCATAGCAGTTAACAATACTGTGATTTCCTGACTTTAATGCTGTCTCAGAAACAAGAGTTAAAAACATGTCCCAGGACTTCCACAGGGTGACAGTCTTGCCTTATCTAACCTACAGTCTTGCCTGATCTAACCTGATCTGGCTTGTTTCCCAGGGTTCTATTTTCCAGGGACAGGGATTTTAGGGTCTCTCTGGGAGAGAAGCAGAGAAATTCTAAGCTTTTGCTTCTTTCATGCAGTGTGAAATATGTGAAATTTCTCTCATCAGAGAAAAATTATTAACTTGGGTTTTATTTTGCATTATCAGTGAGCCCGATGAAGGAGGGATGCACCTGGACGTTTCCATAACGCCCACCTCACTCTTGATGCGAACCCCCGATGGCTGCACCGAGACCCAGCTTCCAGCAGAGGTCAGGCTTGTGCCTTCCTCGTGCGGCGGGCTGAAGTATATCCCCGGAGATGGGTTGCACCTGCGTCTGCAGGCCCACACTGAATCCAGCCCACGTGAGTAGGAGCTGCACCCCGATGGATGTTGACATTCGTTAAGTCAGTGACCTGGAAGGGCTAAAGATGAAGAAGTTCCAGGGTCTCGATCCACTCTGCCAGTTACCAGCTTAACTTTTCCGAACCTTCACGTCTTTAAGTATATGCTTAAGAATATGCTTTAATTCTTTGAGCATTTTTAGTCTCATGGCAGATTTGAGAAGAAGGTACAGATATTTCCCCCAAATCGCCCAGTTTATTTCTTTAATCATAAATGTCCGGCTCACAGACATGAGGATAAGATCACAAAGCGGTTGTCCAAAACCTGGCTGGTTTTAATGTAGTCATTCAGCAGACAGGTTAGCTCAAACTAGGTGTGAGCCGTTTGATGTGGGTGCTGGGAACACAGACACCAACAAGCCACAAAGGCCTCTGCAATTGTGGAGGTATATTCTAATGGGTGGGAACGTCGGATGCTGACCACGTAATTAAAGTGCATAGAACAAAATGCTGTGGGGAGTAATGAGTTTAGTGAAGGCTCCCTGAGGGTGAGCTGATTTGACCAGAGAACGGAGCAGTGGAAATTATCCCATCCGTGCAGAGACCATTCTAGATGGAATTATACATGTAGAGGACCCAAAGTTGCATGAATCATATGATGTTGTCACTGGAGGAGTGGTTGTAATTGCAGTGTTTGTGATTGTATACAAACTCAAAAATGTATATTGATACAGCTAGATGTTAAATAACAACAACCAAAAAAACCCTTTTCTTTTTGTAAGATCTCATCTTTTTTTTTTTTTAAATGCTGGCTCATTGTATCTCATTCAATGTAATGAGTGCTGTAGATGAGGAAAATGCTGTGAAAGGGGAAGCCAGCATTGGAGGAAACCGAGCTGATGCTTTGTATCAGAGAAAGACCTTCATTCTTAATTCTTTCTGTTACACCCTAAGGCCGCACTGCTGAGCCCTCTGTAATGAGCCCTTTATCAGAACGTTGTGGAGCCCTGAGGTGGGGACAACAGGATTGTCCTAAGAAGCCTGTAAGAGATGGAAAGCCATCCTCTGATTTTAGAAAGGCAAGAGAAGGTAGAGGGAACGTCACTTATTCTTTTCCCCAAGAGTAATTTTGCTGATGTTCTGAATCAGTGAATGATTGAAATATGTAGAATCAGTTTTTAGAAACAAGGGACAGGGAAAAGAGATGTCCTGCTTAAGTGGCATCCAATAAACACCTAGATAGAGTGACACTGAATCCCAGAAAGCGTGACACTGAATCCCAGAAAGCAGGGTGAGGCCACCAGGAGTGTAACGTAGACCAACTGCCTCCCTGACTGTCCCCACATTCTGGGATGGAGGTGCCAGTGAGGATCTTTGATGACATCACTTCCCTGTTAGCAACAGTAGGCACAGCAGGAAGTTCTTGTAGAGTTTGGAAGCTGGCAGAAGGCAGGCATGGGAGCCGCCATGTTTTCTAGGACTCTGATAGTAAAGACAGAGGAATGGGGACATCCAGGGACATAATGTTTGAGTGTGTTGCCCACTCATATTCTGTAACGGAATTATTTTTAACATTTTCAGTTAATGAGCAACATTTAATACTGACTGCGGACAAAATAAATCCACTACTGTGTGTTGGTTTTTGTATTGTTTATGTTTGTTGGACTGTTTCTTTATGTTTTTGAAACATTTTGCTCCAATACCTGAAAAGGGAAACTTTCAAGGCCTGTTCTATGGTGCATGCAAGGCTCGGGAAAGCGGATTCTTCCATCTTTAATTGCTTTAGCACTTTCTGCATAATAGGTGAGGATTAAGTATTTGCCGCATGAATGATTGTCAGGTAGGTGCACACTGAGGCGCGCTGACATCTAAGTACTGTAGGAAGCGACGTTTGAAATTGTTAGCATTCAGTTGTGTCTCAAGGTTTTAAAGAGCTAGTTGCCTTCTCAGCTTTTAGGGAGCAGTCACGACACACACCACCCTGGCACACTGTTTTGAAGTCGCTGTGGGTGAAGTGGTGACCCTCGGTGCACAGCGTATGGTCTGCCCTTAACCTTTCCCAGTGGCAGTGAGCATCTGGGATTCCATCCTTGACTTAATGGCCAGCAGAGAGCAGTGTTCCACTGAAAATTGATTTGTTCTGAAGAGGCCTGTTGGAGGGTTTACCTAGGTTTTCTTTATAGATGCTCAGCCTTGAAGAATAATACTGTTTATTTAACCTTCATGCAGTAGGGATTTGTAGAGACACTTAGAGATTAAACTGCAGAAATTTTTTAATTGCAAGGACTTAAACTTTCTGGCATCTTATAAAGCATTTTAAAGTACATAAAAGGTAACACCAAGCAGATTCTATTGCTTGCTTATAATAACTATGACCTCATTTCTTCAATTAGCTTTTTTATAGACAAATAATGCAGTGCCTTTTTTTAAAATAAAAATTTCCTTCATTTACAAATGAAACATCAGAATGAGAGGTATAAGCCATCCAGTGCAACTGGATGAGAAATCTAGACTTTCCCCACAGCTCTCAGTATCTCCCCCTCCCTCCCATCCCCATCTCCCACAGTTTCATCCGACACTGGATTTTGCTCTTGGATAAAGAAACTCTTAGGAGCTTTGCATTCCTGGGACCTGCTTCACAAACACCAGTCTGGATGTCCATTTTGCTTGCTCGTACTGTTTAATGTGTAGGGGTGGACCTAAAACTTAACCACAAAAACAAAAACCAGATGGAACTGAAATTTTAGCTCCCCGTCTCCACTCATTGTTAATACAGAATTTATCATATTTATAGAATGAGAGAAGAAATCCACCAGTATGTTGCATGTAATCTAGGGCAATGGCTGACTCAGGAACACTAAGCAAAAGCTGTTGTTTTGGGAAACACTTCACAATGTTTGCCTCTGGTTGAGTCATCGGATAGTGCTAATTAAGCCTATACTTCTGAGTAAATCATAAACAGTGTGTATTGGTGGTAATTTATTGTGCTAGGAAACCCTTTAAACATGATACAATATGTTTGTTCCAAACCTCTAAGACTTGCTGTTTTGTTGATTTCCTTTAGAATTGATTTCAGCGTTTAATCAAAGCTTGCAAGCCCAAGAATGTTGCACGTTTTATTGCCAATCCTGTGGTGAAGTCACGGTAAAGGACAGGTAAGGGATGTCTTGAGCACTGATTAGAACTGTACCTGGTGATGGTTTCTGGAAGCGATTACCAAGGGAACAGTGGGGGCCTTAAAATGAGAACCAGCTAAGTTTCTCTTTGAACAAAGTGAACCCTGACTCTCACCATGATCATGGAAGGGAACATAGTGTGGTCTGAGGGAGGAAGCTGGTCTTGGTGGAAGGGCCTGGAGCAGTCACTGAGCAGAGCACCATGGAGTCATCTCTTATGTGACTCTTTTGTTCTGATGGTGTGTGAGGGTTTCCACAGTAAATGAATTTTCTACCTGCAGGAGCTGTGTAGCAGGATTGATTTGAGCTAGTTCAGTCAGGGCCTTTCTAAAACCCATTTCCTAGTTCCCTGCTTATTAAGATGGAGCATACAGAGCACAAATTAACCTTTTCTCAGTGATTAGGTTAATCTTGTAACCTGCTCTGGTGATGTGCTGTAATTACTCTATGGAGAAGGGAAGGACTTTGCTATTTCCTTAGCATTCCCAAGTTGGCTTCTTCTTCTTCTTCTTTTTTTAAAAACTGTTTTCTCTTTCTCAAGTCAGCTTTCTGGTTTCTTGGGCATAAATGCTTCCTCTGAATTTTCAGCTTCTAGTGACTCATGTCGAAGACGGATGAAACCATTATTACTGTTAGCAGTATTTAAAGGAAGAATTCTTTGCTGGATTCATGGCTGGATTTTCTAAGTTAGGTGCCTGAGACAAGCAAATGATGCTGCCTTTCTGAAACCTGCTCCTCTTTCAACGTCCTTAACTCCATAATGCCAAACCTCTACCTAGCAGATTTCTTCCTGCTCCCCGTACATAGTCACCAGGCACGGTGGCCGTTGTCGCTTCCCTCTGCTCACTGTCTCCTTCCCTAATGACACTGTCTGCAGCCTGCTGCCTGATCAGCCTCCTTCTCATTCTGCCCTGTGCAGATGCACTGCCCCACCACTGAGGGGGGGTTCTAAAGCCCAGGTGTTTGTTCTCGGTGGGGAGCTGCAATCCTTTGCACACCACAGCAGCTCCCCTGTACTCCCTCCAGTTTCAGCTCCTCCTTTAGTCTCCCCCAACCCCCTTGCCAAGCTCACAAGTATCACATGGGTCTGGTTATGAGCTTGTGTTCCATAGCCTTGGTTGCTTCTCTTCACCCTGAGGCCTCCTGAAAGCTACTCCCTATCCTGAAAGCTACTCCCTTTCCTGAATGCACCCCTACCCTCCATCACTCCCTGGTTCACCCCAACCTAAGCTTCAGAACTCAGCTGACCTGACATCCACTTCTTCGCGGCCTTGTCTCCCTCCTGAGTTGCATTAGGTGTTCGCTGAGGTTCATTTACCCGTCTTCCTTCATACACTGTGGGCTTGAGGACTGGGGATAGCCACACTGACTTCCATGCCTTCTATTCCTCTCTCTTGATTGTACAGTATAGAGATGTAGCCAGCAATGCAAGACAGAGTTTCCATCCACCACTCAACTAGCTCAATGATCGTGGATAAATAGTTTAATCACTCACTTCGACAATGTCCTTATTGAGAAAGTGTAGCTAACACTAGGCCTTACCTCATAGTGCTATTGATAGGATTTGATGATTCAAGTGTTTCTAGTAGAGCCTGGTACGGGGTAAGCCTTCCCCATGCATTAGTAGCTGCTGCAGTAACCATTATTCTTACCAGCATCCCTAGTGTCAGGCATGGTGCCTAGAGGAAAAGTTCTTGGTAGGTTTTTGCTGGGTTGAATGTAGTAAAACTTGGTGTGGTTTTTTTGGCTTCCCACCAGCCTTTCTTGCTTGCCTCCTGATCTTGGCAGTGTTCCAAGTAGATGAGCTGGCACAAATGCACACCCTCAGGGTTTGGGAAAGTTACAAACAGAGCTTCTTTTGAGTGATTGGCATGAGTGAAAAATGAAGGGGCCTTACATCTACAGAGACGAAGTTGCTGTGAATCTGCCCTTGGTGACAGACCCACTTCTAAAAGAGCCAAGAGATCTCTGTATTTTGGCCTTCTCTCAGTCTGTTTCGGGCTTTGGTTTAATTCTCAGATGAAGTTTCTGAACCATCTCCTCCCATGCCACATGCAGTGATCCGGAAGTTACAGCAGGGATGGTTACATTCTTGGTGCTCATGACAGAAGGGAAATGCTGTTTCTTTACTTTCTGGTGTTTGTGCTTCATGGGAAAGGATGCTGATGGGAAGGGCCTCACTATAGTGCCTGTCTCTCTATCCAGGACTATAGTCTTCTGTTTTGTGTCAGTCCTGTCTGTGATTCTAAAATTGAGAACTGGAAGTGGGTGGGGCTGATGGCAGAAGACAGTCTTTTTTTTTTTTTTTTTTTTTTTGCTATCAGGAGGCTTGGCATTCCATTCCTCTCCGGAGAATGGAACATGGGTGTGAACTTCTGCTTTCTCACTGAGAGGACAGAGGACCTTCTCTGTATCACCTGAACTTCTTCTAGTAAAGCCTTCTAATAATGCATGCTTTCCAGACTTTCCAAGAGAGCTAAGCACTGTAGCATATGTAACAGAGTAAGTGCTCAGCAAGCTTTATAATTGCTTTTATTGATTTCTTCTCCCCTTTTCAGATTGTTTTTATTAGTAAGCTGGCAAATGACCTACTTTAATGTCTCAAACATTTTGGGCTGAGGACTGTGCCTGACATAGTCTGTAGGTTTCAGAATGAGAAGATGAACACCAGCTGGTCAGTGGTGGCGCACGCCTTTAATCCCAGCTCTCGGGAGGCAGGGGCAAGTGGATCTTTGTGAGTTCGAGGCCAGCCTGGTCTACAGAGCAAGATCCAGGAAAGGCGCAAAGCTACACAGAGAAGATGAACACCGGCCTTCTCCCCGTCCTTTCACAGCACACCTATGTACCAAGCCTGTGTGCATGTCTTGAGCACCACAGGTAGTAACTTGCTCAAGGTTTGCATTCATCTCCATCTTAGACAACATGCCCCACAATTCTGGATGGGCTTCCCCCTAGTGTCTGCTCATGGATCTCACAATTTACTGTTGAAACCAATCCTGGAACTCTGCTGCACTTCCCCTTTGGTGACATGTTCTATGGGGTTGGTAAGGACCACTTTGGTGCTTCTTGAAAAGAAAACAAGGCCAGAGGTGTTTCAAGAGAGCTGATGTGTGTTCTCATCAGTATCAACGAATTATAAGCAGCATTCTCAGGATAATAATCTAGGATTATTGATCCCTTTCTTTTACATTTTTTTCTTTTATTATTTTTATAATGTAAGTCTGTGTGTGGGTGTGCATGCAGTTGCCTATAGAATCCAGAAGAGGCTGTCAGATTCCCTGGATCTGGAGTTACAGGTGGTTGTAAGGCACCCTGTGTGGGTGCTGGGAGCTGAGCCCAGGACCTCTGTGAGAGTGGTATGTTCTTAATCTTTGAACTATCTCTCAAGCCTTTTTATATGGGAATAAGTTACATTAGTTTGGGGGCATTATTTTTCTATCTGTAAAATGAAGAAGTTAGGTTAGCGAAACCCATGAAAGCTTCATCAGAATGAAACTCCTCTGATCCTTGAAACTCAAGAGCTTGTGCTCTGGGCTTCTGTGACTCCTGAGTATCTGGATAGTTCAAGGCTAAAGCATGTTCTGTTCTTTCTTTCTGAATGAGAAAGATTCTTGTCAAGGAAAGTCCAGACATAACATAGAAAGACATCGACTCAGAAAGACTCGTTAATGGCTTTTCCTTCTCAGCACCAGAGCATCTGAGCTCTGCGAATTATTATCGCCTTTCTCTTAATTTAGGGCTGCAAATTCTTAGCCAGTTTGCTTTGGTTGCATATTAATTAACAACAGCTTGTTTCTTTACAAGACAGTTCTCCAATTTATAATTATTTTAGTTCAAGTTTTCCTACAAAATTGGTCTGACTATGTGCAGTTTTTGACTATGTTCTTGTTGAGACCAAACAGGCCATCCTATTGGGTAACAACTGCTACATTTTCCTTTTTTGTAAGTAGTCTAATAAACAGCCAGAAGTCATTGTGTTTAGATTTTGATATGCCCTCTAGAAATCGATTTGTGTCAGACAAGAATGACATTAGTGGCCACACAGATTTTCTGCACACACCTTGGTTTTCAGACTGCCCATGGCATTGTCCTGAGGTGTGTCACCCACACTGGCAATGCTCGGTGTCAGCTCCAAGCTCTTGGGGCACCCTGAAACTCTAGGAGAACAGCAGGATGGACTTTGTGGAAACAGATGTCGCAGTGTCCAACTGCTTGAGGGAGCCACTTGACAGGCCAGCTCTAATTGTAGCTGAAAATAGATACTCTTGTGAATATCAGCCCTTGTTTATAAAAGGAGCAAATAGATTTAAAAAGTACAGAATCGGGCCTTGGGTACATGGTAGACCACATGCTTGCATGTACAAAGCATGTCCAGTCTCTGTCATCCTGTTCCTGTACCCTAAATCAGGATGTTTTGTAAACTGGCCTGTTGGCAACATGGCATAAATTTAGGAATACGATTATATATTACAGATTAATCATGGTATGTACAGACAAATATTAGAATGTAAAACTAGTTTTATAGCACTGGTGGCCTGCCAGTTGGATAATGTTACCTGAATTTACTTAAATTCTGGTTGCTGTACTTTGAGCTTTAAGTATTGGTTATTTTTTCTTAAGATCTTTAATGTTCAGTTGGTTATAATCAAATCTGTAAGAAGTTGTATGGTATTGCCTGAATAATTGTCATTGATTAGAAGCTGACTTCAAAGTTCCACATATGTTTAAGTATCAAAACTTCATCAATAGTTTTTATTAAAGTTATATGTTACATGTCATTATTTTCCAAAAGTTTATGCTTCAAATGCATCAAAAGTAAGTAGCAAACCTGAATTTATTGTAAACATGTACTGTTCCTCGCAGAATCTTTAATCTAGAGGAAAGCTCAAGTTCCTACTTCCCTTTCTCTTTAAACAGCAGATTTTTAGCTAAACTGTCTTGAATTAAAAACTAAAGGTTTCTGTGTTATTTGAACATCTTCTTGGAAAGTAGAGGATATCAAAATATACTTTTCAGGGTTTTTTTCGGAAGATGTGCTTTCACTAGAGCTGTGATTAAAATACATCTTTTGTTTGTAAAGTTTTCATGTCCCCCCCACCAAATAAATCAGAAAATTTTCTTTCTGCTGTAAAAACCCTTTAATTTTTGCTGTGAGTTGTGAATTACGCACTTCTTTCTGCTGCCTTCTGTAGATGGTTCAAGGATCCATTGTAGCCTTTAGTCACTGTGATGTGGGGTCAAGTTAACGTTGAAATCTGCTGTTTCGTGTTAATGTGCATCAATTCTCCCAGGTCTTTGTGCACACTTTCATGTCTTTGATCATGCATCGTTCTCTGCCATTCTGTCTCTTTTCATTGCACTGAGGTTCTGTACTGGTCTTATAGGCACAGTATCAGGAAGCAGAGAATCTTGATAGAGAAGATCCACGAACCTATGGATGCCTAAATCCTTGCTTTCGCTTCCCTCCTTAAAACACTGTGATGCTTCTACCTATTTTTAGTCCTAAAGTCTCCATGCCTGTAACTCCCTACAGAAGGTTTGGTCATTTCCCTGTTCAGCCTTTACTGCTGCCCTGTATTTCCAGGGAGGTGAATGTATACCAAGGGAAAGAGTGCTTTTAGAGCCAGAAAGACCTGGATAAAGACCCTTGCTTCAGTCTTCACCTCTAATTCTGTGGACTTGTGAAGGTTCTTTCACACTCCTAAGCCCCATTTTCCTCTTTTGTGACAGGAGCATTGTTGTTTTTATCTCACAAAGTGTCCTGAGCCTTACATATGGTAAGGTGTATGTGGTGCCACCAGGGGTCTTATTAATTGCTTCTATTCATGCAGTCTCACAAGATTACTATAGGACACATTTGTTGCTGGCCAGGCAGCATCAAGAATGCCTCTCTGACCCAAGTCCAGACATTGGGCCCTGCATGGGGTGAGTCCTGCTGAGGAGAGGAAGGAGGGATTATAGAAAATGGGATCAGAAACATTACGGGAAAACTCACAGAAACCACTAGTCTGGCTCATGGGAACTCACAGAGTCTGAACCAACAACCAGAGAGTCTGCATGGGACCAACCTAGGCCCTCCGAATATATGTGACAGTTGTGTAGCTTGGTCTACTTGTGGGAATCCCAGCAATGGGAGCAGGGGCTGTCGCTGGTGCTTTGAGTGCCTCTTGGGATCCTAGTCCTCATGCTGGATTGCCTTGCCCAGCTCAAATACAGGGGAAGGTGCTTGGTATGCCATGTTTTGCTGATACCTTTGGGAGGCCTGCCCCTTTCTGAGTGATTACAAAGAGGAGGAAGGGTGATAGGGAGGCTGTGGTCAGGATGTAAAAGAAAGAAATTAATTAATAATAATTAAAGAAAGAATTCCTCCCTGCATGGGCTTTGCTGCAGTCCATGCAAGTGATAGTTGATATTCTCACTGGGGGACCCTGGTCTCCCGTGTGAGACAGTTCCAGGTACAGAGCACGAGATCTACATCAGGCAGGTGCAGTTGCTGCTTTAGCTGAGAAGCTTCCCCTGCCCTGAGTGACAGTGTCTCCTCACAGTTCTGTGGTTTTGGCTCTTAGGGTTTTACCGAGGTGACTGCATGCAGGGAAGGTCAAAGCATACTTCCTTACCAAATGTGTGCAGCTCATTCATAGATCTTCCTAGTAAGATGCAATTTACGAATCGTGGATCATTTCTACTGTAAGCCGTGTTGCCTAGCAATACATGTGATGCCTAGGATCTTACCTGGTTTCCAGGGTAACGAAGCTAGGTGGTTATTCCAAAGGTCAGATACTGGAGCAGCAAGGGGAAGGGGTTGTTAATCCTTACACCCCAGTATGCAGCGGATCCAGCCAGGAGCCTCACGTGTGAGACTTCCCGAAATTTACTACTTCATCCCTCCAAGAAATCCTTCAGAAGTGTGTCAGGCAGTAGGGATTCAGTGCAGAGATAAAGAGATGCAGGGCCTGCCGTTACGTTGTTTCTTCCAGTGCCCTCAATTCCTTTCACTGCCAGAGGAACTTCTGTTTTCTTATCTTTCAAAGGCCAGCTCAGAAGTTACCTATTCTCTGGAGCTGATAAACAGAATATGTCCTTAGTACTCGCTGTCCACCCTGTATGCATGGTCTGGTTGGGGAGTACTCTGAACCCCTAAAAAATAAAATGTAGACTCGGTGTTTACGTGGGAATGTATGCTTGAGAAGGGGGCTGATTCCTCCATCACATTTTCATTGGTATCTGTACTGTCACCCTCCACCGAGGGGTTAGAGCCTCAGTACTATTATGAGCTTTTTTTATGCATACCTTTGCTTACTATGTGTAGTCTATACTTCCTACTAGAATACCTTTACAGAGAGAGAGAGAGAGAGAGAGAGAGAGAGAGAGAGAGAGAGAGAGAGAGAGAGATTGTGCACATGGGCTTGGGTGTCATATATTAGGCTAACATATTGCCCCAGCTCATAGCAAGCTCTCAGAAATGGTTGTTGAAAGAATCATCTGTCAGTACCCTCCTCCCTCAGTAGTCAAAATGATGCTAGTGGTGCCCTGTTTGACTCAGCGTTTCTATTCCTAGCTCTGTCCTGTAGAGCTATAAATTAAATGGCTACCCTCTTCCAATCTGTCATTGCCCTTTTATGATACTCATAGTTAATTGGGAGAATCTAAGAAAAATGGCTAACATGGTAGGGGGGAATCATTCAATAATAATTTTAAAAAATCTTTTAATGGAAATGACACAATCGTGTCTTAAGTATTTTAATTTAACTCCAATCTTCTAAATACATATTATTTTATTTGTATTTTACTAGTAAGAGACACAGTAGATATCACCTTAAGCAAAAAATCAATGTTAGCATCACCAGGAGTAAGCTAAGCTGATATAGAGTGCTGTGACATGATGTAATGAGAAGGGTCCCTTTTCTCTGGAATGCTTTCCCCGAGACTGCGGACCAGACAAATCTAGAGACAGCATCAGAGAAGCTCCGAATAAGAGGTGTGTTATAGACTGCTGAGAAATATACACTTAGGAACTGTCACAGACCAGAGGAGACCTAGATTACATGATGACTAAATACAGTATGTGCCATGTATTGTACCCGGGAACTAAAATGACAAAAACAAAAACAAACCAAAAGGACTTTGAAGAAGAAAAAAATGGTGAAATCCAGATAAAGCCCGAGGCTTTGACAAACCAACTGTGGATACCCAAGATGTTAATTGGAGAAAATGGAAGAAGTGCATATGGAAACTATCCATGGATTCTATATGATCTCTGCAATGCTTTTGTAAATCAAAAATTGTTCAAAAATAGTTTATTAAAATAGAGAAGTGGGGGAAATCACAGAAGAAAGTGTTATTTACTTAACATAGGCAAACCAAATTAAAACAGAAAATAACTCTTAAATATTTATAACAATCGCTAGTAAAAGAATATATTTTTGTAAATTAATAAGAATATGTTGTTATCATCTTAAGAAGTAGTTGTTGATCACCAGCCCCAGAAGAAATGTAGTGACCAATAAATGTAAAAATCAGTCCTATCTCATGAGTAATTTAAGAGTTGCTAATTAAAGCAGCATTAAACATGCCTTTAGCCCGTTCCTTGGTTGAATTTAGAAAAAAGACAATGTTTAATTAAGAAGAGGTTAATCCTATGTGGGAAGAATCTCACCTACTTACAAGATGTTTTCCCCCAAGAAATGATCAGATTTCTATATAAATCTTCCAACAGGAATATTCATCTCAGGGTTATTGATTAAGAACTCAAAACTAAATACCCAACAGTGAGGGAGTGAACTAGAAAGTTTCGACATCCCACAGACTGTTGTAGAGTCACTAGGAATCAGGACCTGAGTGAAAAAATGGAAACAAAGTTCTGTCTGTCTTCTCAGGGCGAGGCCTTGCATGCATGTCATGCATGCATGCAGTGTCTGTGTCTTCTCAGGGCATAGGCCTCCCATGCATGCATGCAGTGTCTGTCTGACTTCTCAGGGCACAGGCCTCCTATGCATGCATGCATATGCATGCATGCAGTGTCTTTCTGTGTCTTCTTAGGGCACAGGCCTCCCATGTGTACATTCATGCATGCATGTAGTGTCTATCTGTGTCTTCTCAGGGTGAGGCCTCCCATGTGTGCACACAGTGTGTATCTGTGTCTTCTCAGGGCACAGGCCTCCCATGCATGCATGCATGCATGCAGTGTCTGTGTCTTCTCAGGGCGCAGGCTTCCCATGTGTGTGCACTGTTTCCAGGGAAAGGATGGCAATGAAAACTGTCATGTTAGAGTAGCTGATTTGTGGACAGTGAGCAAAGGGAGACTTCTGCCTTCTTTATGCTGCTTTGCAGTTTATAAAACGTCTATATATTACTTTCATAATACGAGCATATATTACTTTCATAATTAGGGGTAAATTGACACTGCAGGCATGTGGCTAATGAGCTTCTTTCTTCTTTCATGCTGATTTAATTAAAAAAAAAAACACTGCATTTTGTATATTGAAAAAAGTACTGTTTTCCTCTTTCCTCTAGGAAGCTCCTCAGGGTGCTCCCACTGCCTAGTGAGAACTGGAGCGCTCTGGTAGGAGAATGGTGCTGTCACCCTGACCCCTTTGCTAACAAGCCTCTCCATCCACGAGAAAATGACTGTTTTATTGGGGACTCTTTCTTCTTAGTGAATTTGAGAAGTGATTTGGAGCAGGTAAGAGTTGAACTGAAGTCTTAAATTGGTAAAAATATCTTTTCAAAATACATGCTAGCTTAGAGGTTGATTTAGATACCAATTTCTCTGCTCTTAAACTCAAGGTTTGTTGAAGAGATTGTTCTAAAAGCCCAAATTCATTTTTTTTTTTTTAACTGCTTCTGTTCTCCAGCTGTTTGGATAGAGGAAAGGCCTTAAACTCAAGCAGCCACTAGGGTCTGGAAGAACAGGAGACCTACTCATGCATGGATTTGGGAGTGCTACCATTTTGCACACATAATGCCTTGCTTTCAGGGCACATTCTGTAAGCTGTGCATTTTAATCTCAAAAGTGTTAGTGAAAGTGCAGGAGTGTTAGCCCAGGATATCCACTTTGCAATTAGACCCAGGTATCTTACTGAGTTTGCCTACAATCGAGACTTTCACTGATGTTGGAAAAGCGGATGCCATCCAAAAAAAAAAAAAGGAGAAGGAGCCCTGGAGTAGGGTTGAGCTGAGCTATGAGCTTGCATTGGTGCTCAGCAGTATGGAGTCACATGCTCTCCCTGTGTAGCTTGCTTCCAGGAGAAGGCAGCTTCCTCTCACCACAAAAAAAAAAAAATGTAAGTGGTTTATTTCTCTTTGAGAGGAAATCAACAGGCAAGTGTTGGTATGGTCCTTGTAAGGAGTTTCCCCTGAGATGCCCAGTCCACAGAGATACAATTGGAAATGTCCTTTGCTGGACGGCCTTTATTTCAGTAGTGACTGTTACTGGCAGGAAGGGAAGCATTGCATTTTAAATTTCAGTTAGAACTCGTTAATTTTTTGTAATAAAAGCTGAAGTGTGTGGTGGCTGGGCAGCGGGAGGCCACAAGCTAGCTTCGAGAACCATGTGGAAGATGAAGGGGCGGTCTCAGACACCTAGCTAGCACTCAGTTCTAGACACTTGGTGCTTCATCTCCCCGCAGGAAGAATCCCTTTTGTCTGACATGTGAAGTCCTTAAGCATTCTGTGTTTTTATCAGATGAATGACGAGAAGTTAATGTAGGTTAGTGTTCCTAGGGTTAAATTTATATTTTCATCTGAATTTAGATACTTGGTGTCATGTTTTTCATTTTTATAATCATGCCACCTACCTACCAAGTATTGAAGGTGTGAGTAGAGAAACAACGGAGAAAGATTAAATACGAAAAACTGAGTTTCCCCTTTTTATAAACTCTGCCAAAATATCTTCTCCACTTGTAGAGTCGGCACTTACATTAGGCCCCTTTAGAGAGTTCATTGTTCTACTAAACGATAGGCCTGCACTTTGTGTATTAAAGGAAGATTCTTGTATTTAGACATTCCAGTTTCCACCGTTAGGGAGACTCTGGGAAGTGGCTGCCATGAGAAGCCGCTGTTGACACGATTGTTTTCAAGTTGGTCGGGAGAGGAGTTTCACTTTAATTGCATATTGTAGCAGTTGAAAGAGTGTGCCTGTGACCAAAATAGTAACATAAATTTGGAGCGACTGCTTAAACACTGCTCTCAAGGCTCCGGTGGGAACAAGGCTGCTCTGTGCTATTGAAAACCTATTCCTCATATCACCAGGTCTAGCCACCTAGCAGGGTTTGGAAATGTCACACGGTAGCACAGCATCCTAATGGTATCTCTTGGGAAACATTTGTGTGTGTGTGTGTGTGTGTGTGTGTGTGTGTGTGTGTGTGTGTGTGTGTGTGTGAATGTGAGACAATATCAAGGGTCCTTAGAAACTGAAACAACATAGAAAGTGAAATCACGGACAGGAGGCTAACCCAGCTCTCTGAGCAGTGCTGCCATCTCTCAGATATATTGATTTAATTAGTCCCCAACAATGTCTGTCTTTGAGGTTTGCTCCGTAGAGTTCCCACAGTGCTAGGCAGCTTCATTACGCTACTTGTTTTATCATTTTCTTGAAGATTAGCTAGAGAAAAATGCCTTGCAAAGCGGAGCTTCTCTTTAAACAGAAGTAACATGCTAGAGTATTTTAATTAAAAAGATCAGAGTTTGAAAACAGCACAAACATAGAGCTTCACAAGCTTTCATTCCTCCATGCCTTCTTGGATTTATAGTATTGTATTTGGGCCTCATTAATGCAGCCATATGTGCTTTCTATTTTCAAAAGTGCTCTGCTGGAGACAGTGTTATGATTCGCTTGTCATCTCTGATGCAGATTTTTTTTGGGCATCCCAACATACTGAATATTTTACATCTTATAATAGGATAATAAAGATAGACCACAATCTTCCATGAGAGTCATAATATGATTCAAAATTTAGGAAACATAAGCTGGGCATTGGAGTTATTGTGCCCATTGTCCTACCTACATCTGTGGGGATGTAGGTAGTAGCATGTCTGAGTTCAGGAGTTTCAAGTCCAGCCTGAGTGACCTAACAAGACCTCATCTTTTTTTTTTTAATTTTATTTTACAATACAATTCAGTTCTACATATCAGCCACGGATTCCCTTGTTCTCCCCGTTCCTGCCCCCCTCACCTTCCCCCCAGCCCACTCCCCATTCCCGCCTCCTCCAGGGCAAAGCCTTCCCCACAGACTGAGATCAACCTGGTAGACTCAGTCCAGGCAGGTCCAGTCCCCTCCTCCCAGGTCGAGCCAAGCAATCCTGCATAGGCCCCAGGTTTCAAACAGCCAACTCATGCAATGAGCACAGGACCCGGTCCCACTGCCTGGATGCCTCCCAAACAGATCAAGCCAATCAACTGTTTCACCTATTCAGAGGGCCTGATCCAGTGGGGACCCCTCAGCCATTGGTTCATAGTTCATGTGTTTCCATTCGTTTGGCTATTTGTCCCTGTGCTTTATCCAACCTTGGTCTCAACAATTCTTGCTCATATAAACCCTCCTCATTCTCGCTAATTGGACTCCCGGAGCTCCACCCGGGGCCTAGCCGTGGATCTCGGCATCCAGATCCCTCAGTCATTGGATTGGGTTTCTAGCAGGACAGTTGGGGTGTTTGGCCATCCCATCACCAGAGTAGGTCAGTTCGGGCTGTATCTCAGCCATTGCCAGCAGTCTATTGTGGGGGTATCTTTGTGGATTTCTGTGGGCCTCTCTAGCACTTTGCTTCTTCCTATTCTCTTGTGGTCTTCATTTACCGTGGTCTCCTATTCCTTGTTCTCCCTCTCTGTTCTTGATCCAGCTGGGATCTCCCGCTCCCCCAAGCTCTCTTTCCCTCAACCCTTGCCCTTCATTACCCCCCCCTCATGTCCAGGCTGTTCATGTAGATCTCATCCATTTCTCCGTCATTGGGAAATCCCCGTGTCTTTCTTGGGGTCCTGTTTCCCTGACTTCAAGCTCTGCTATAGAGCTACAGTAATAAAAACAGCTTGGTACTGGCATAAAAACCGACATGTGGACCAGTGGAATCGAATTGAAAACAGCACAAACATAGAGCTTCACAAGCTTTCATTAATCCGCACACCTATGAACATATAATTTTTGACAAAGAAGCCAAAAGTGTACAATGGAAAAAAGAAAGCATCTTCAACAAATGGTGCTGGCATAACTGGATATCAACAAGTAGAAGACTGCAAATAGATCCATATCTATCACCGTGCACAAAACTTAAGTCCAAGTGGATCAAGGACCTCAACATAAATCCAGCTACTCTGAACCTGCTAGAAGAGAAAGTAGGAAGTAGTCTTGAATGCATTGGCATAGGAGATCACTTCCTAAATATAACACCAGTAGTACAGACACTGAGAGAAACAATCAATCAATGGGACCTCTTGAAACTGAGAAGCTTTTGTAGAGCAAAGGATACGGTCAACAAGGCAAAGCGACAGCATACAGAATGGGAAAAGGTCTTGACCTCATCTTGCAATAACAAAACTTAGAAAGTACAGTCATACTTCGTTTTATTTTTCTAAAAGAAGCACAATTGAATTTAGCATGATTACTGCTGGAAAGGTGTGACTGAGATCAACTTTGTTTTTTATTTTTTGGGGTACTGAGTTAATAATTTATGGGTTTGAGGAATTTCTTTTGTGAAATTCATAACATCTACACAATACATTGATCATCTTAATTACCATACATGCTTCATCTGCCCCTTTTTTATCTTGTTAAAATGATTAAAAACAAATTATAGAATTGTGTCGCTTCATCCTTATGTGTTTCTGTTTGTGTGTAGGTCGAAAAATAAGGATTAAAAAAGAAACTACAACTGCTATTATCACACCTAATAAAATCAGGCCATATACAAGTTTTATTAATTTTCTTCAAAGTATTGTTAGTAGGTTTATTTGGATCAAAATCCACATATTTGTTTGAGATGATTTGCTTTTTATTGATCAGTTTTTTTAGATGCTGATTGTCCATATCTTAAGGTTATAATCTTATTTTTTAAAGACAAAGAAAACGATGCTTCTATATTATTGAAAGATGAAATTGTGGTTAGAGAAATGACTCAGTAGTTAAGAGCACTTTTTGCAGATGACTCAAGTTTAGATCCCAACACCCAAGCCAGGCAGCTTACAATAACCTGTAACTCCTGTCCAGGAGATTCATCTTCTGGCCTCCCTGAGCACCTGCATGTATGTGTGTGTGTGTGTGTGTGTGTGTGTGTGTGTGTGTGTGTGTGTGTGTGTTTGTTTGTGCACGCTCATGCATGCATATATATAAGTTTAAATAAATAAATACATTTTTAGAAGGCAAAGTGGCATGGTCTTGGAAAACAATTATAAATGAAATGTGTAAGGGATGTAAGAGAAACTTGACACTCCCCAACACACACACACACACACACACACACACACACACACACACACACACACACTCCAAAAGCACTATTTTCTGGTCTGAGTAAGAACAAAATCCTTTTAGCTTTGCTGTTCTAGTAAAACACTTCATTTCAAAATCAGCTTACACAAAATGGCATCCTTTCAAAAACAGCTTTAATACCAATTTGAGGCTGGATGATATTTTTTTAGTATGAGCCTAACCTGGAGATCTAGGCCTTCATGACTTCTTTGCAAGCTCTCTCTCTCTCCTTCCTGGGCATGAACACTTTGGTACTTCCCTTGGTTTGGGGTTCTATTGCTTCAGATGGGAATGACTTTGTACAGTCACCTACTGTCTTAAGGCTCTGCACCTGTGGTCTGTGTTGTGCTGGGTTTAAGGATGTTAACAGCTGGGCATGGTACCACCTGTAGGCCTTGCTTAGGGACTGTGCCTGGTTAGTGCCAGAGCCAGAGTGAGCAGGCTTGAAGATCTCATATTTGGTAGTTTCCTCAACTGAGACTTGTAGAGAAAGATCAGGGGAGCTGTGTTAAGTCCCAAAGCTAGAGGAAAATGGGATAGGTTTTCGAGTTATTGAAGTACGAAGACACTCATTTCAGAAGTCCCTATGAAGAAAACAGCCACTGGGTACTTGTGGGTTTCTACTAATAGTGAATTCAAAGGTGGGTGAAGGACTGAGTCTTAAAGACACCACTAGGAGTTGTACAGGTGCTTTTGACTAACCTTCAACAAAAATAAGCCATGTATTTTTTATTATTACATTTTTTCTTCATTTTGATTTTATGTGTATGGGTGTTTGCCTGTACATATGTCTGTTTAGACAGTGTGTGCAGGGCACTGTATAGGCCAGAAGAAGGCATCAGATTTCCTGGAACTGGAGTTTTGGATGTTTCTTAGCCACCCTGTCGGTGGTGAGCATTGAAGCCAGGTCTTTTGGAATAGGAGCCAGTGCTCTGAATCACTGAGACATCTTTCCAGCCCCGAGACATGTATTTGTTTTTTAACTTCTTCATGTAACTCGCTTTTGCCTTCAGAACCTAATTAGTCCTGATTAAGTATATACCACATCTATTTGATAATGGATTGCAGCTGTGTACAGCTTACTTTATGACTTGGTGGTCAAATAATACTCTGCTCGTGATGGGCAGCTCAAGTCACTTGGTCACTTGTTGGCACATTGTCAAATGTTCTGTTTCCACTAAGGCCCAATAGCAGGCCAAAAAGAGCTGTCTCTCGAAGGGAGAATAGTTGTCTGTAGATGATGGTAGAGCCTTTCTCCAGAGTCCCATAGATCTGTTCTGTGATTCATCTACTGGGTCCTGCCAAAGGCTCCAAACAGCATCCTTGTCTGCCACTGCCACTTCAAGTACCACTGGGTCTGCTGGATCACCACATGGTTGAATAGCCTGCTGGACTTGTTGAAAGTCCTTCTCCTGTTTCAGGCCCTACTCACAGCTGTCAACTTTTGAGTCATTTAGTATGTGGGCCAGAGTAACATACCAAGTCAGGAACGTGCTGTCTCCAGAATCTAAATAGGCCCACTAAGCATTGTACTTCTTTGTTGGTAGTGGGAGGATTTAGGTGCAATAACTTATCTTTTATCTTTGAAGGAATATTTTCTGCATGTTCCACACAACTGGACTTCTAGAAATTTCACTAAGGTCACTGAATTTGTACCCATGAAGGCCAGAGGTGGGCATTGGTTTCCCTGAGATGGAAATTACAGATGGTTGTACACTGCTGTGTGGATGCTGGGAATCGAATTGAGACCATCTGCAGGAACAACTGCTGTGGGATGTTCTGTATGGCAAATGTGTTGCTCTGATTGGTTGGTAAATAAAACACTGATTGGCCAGTAGTCAGGCAGGAGGAAGTATAGGCGGGACAAGGAGGAGAATAAAGCTGGGAAGTGGAAGGCTGAGTCAGAGACACTGCCAGCCGCCATGATGACAAACAGCATGTGAAGATGCCGGTAAGCCACGAGCCACGTGGCAAGGTATAGATTTATGGAAATGGATTAGTTTAAGCTGTAAAAACAGTTAGCAAGAAGCCTGCCATGGCCATACAGTTTGTAAGCAATATAAGTCTCTGTGTTTACTTGGTCGGGTCTGAGCGGCTGTGGGACTGGCAGGTGAGAGAGATTTGTCCAGACTGTGGGCCAGGCAGGAAAACTCTAGCTACAAACAACCAGTGCTCTTAACCACTGAGCTATCTCTCCAGCCCTCCTCCTATTTTTAAATTAAATATCATTATATTTTAAGTCAAGGTCTCACTCTGTTACCCAAGGTAGTCTAGAACTTGCTATGTAGCCCAGGCACACCATGAACTTGCAATTCTCCTGCCTCAGCTTCATAAATGTTATGATTATAGGTATATAACACCATATCCAGCTTCCTTTGCCCACCTTTTTTTTTAATAACAACTACATTGTGGTATGTATGTGCATGAAGAACATTATGTAGCTTTAATGAGGAATGGCTGTGGGTCTCAAAAAGAACATTCTTTAATGAATATGTGAATGCCAGCATTTAAGCAATATCCTACTGTACTTGGAGTTTTGAAGTCTGAGAATGTTTCAGGAATTTGTTTCATTACCCATCTCCCCAGTTACAGTGCATATCTTAAATGGAAAAAAATAGAATTACATGAACAAGTTGGGTATTTTTAACTTCTGAGTTATGGGTGGCTAGGATTTGTAGGTTGCTTTTACATAAATTGTGCTGGCCTCAGAGTTGTCATATGAGTTAAAGCTCCAGTCCTTCTGTATTCTGTCCGCTCTTGAATTAGGGTGAGCCATATAAGTTAAAGCTCCAGTCCTTCTGTATTCTGTCCGCTCTTGAGTTAGGGTGAGCCATATAAGTTAAAGCTCCAGTCCTTCTGTATTCTGTCCGCTCTTGAGTTAGGGTGAGCCACCAACCATTGTCCTTGCCACCCACTGTCCGCTTGTTCTTTAGAAGTATGACAGGTTTCTTGTTCAGATGATTTGGCAATGTTTGGATTATCAAGAAGTGGCTAGGGTTATAAAAGTCAATCTGTGTATTATTCTGTCTTTGGACAGGAGGAAAATGATCTCTGTGCGTGTGAATTATGCATACAAGCTAAATGTATTCCTAGTATTTACTTGAGGGCAGAGTAGAATGTAAAGTTCAATGTATACCCTGGGGATTATGTTAAAATTATATATTCCTTTTGAGAAAAGTTGAATGACATTTAAATGACATTTTTTCTCTTCTACAGGAACCAAAAGCAAATACCAAAGTCATTTGTAAGCGTTGCAAGGTAATGTTGGGAGAGACCATATCATCAGGTAGGAATTTCATAATGCACGGCTGAAATGACTGCCCTCCTACTTAAAAACCCAACAGACTTTATAGTCCATATGTAGGAAAGAGGGATAATTAATTAATTTGATAGAATGCATGGTTAAAAGACTAGAAACCACCTAATGTTTCACCCAGTAGGCCAATGAGTCTGTACTTTCTGACCTAGTTAGCATTGAGAAGGCCTGAGATGTCTTCAGTGTTTCATGTCTTCCTGTAAAGCATCAGTGTAGAGTTTGTACTTAGGTCCAACTTAAGGAAGGTTGGAGCCTTTTTCTTAATGTAATTCTTCTGACTAAAGTGTTAATACCCGGAGATAGAGAGGTTGCTTTTCTTTGCCACTATCTGCCTTGGGGCCCTATTTTGGCATTGGAAGTAGAAGGGGCCTTGTTGAAATACTAGGAAACACATTCTGGGTTTTGTACTTTGTTCCTTATTCTTTATTTTTATTTTTCATAAAGATTTTTTTAAATTTTATTTTATGTGCATGAGTATTTTGCCTGCATGCGTGCATGTGCACCACATGAGTTCCTAGTGCCTGCGGAAGTCAAAGAAGGCATCTGATCCCCTTGAACTGGAGCTTTATATGGTTGTGAGTCATAGTGTGGGTGCTGGGAACTGAACCTGGGTTATCTGCAAGACCAACAAGTACTCTTAACCACTGAGCCATCTCTCCAGCCTCTCTCTCTCTCTCTCTCTCTCTCTCTCTCTCTCTCTCTCTCTCTCTCTCTCTCTCTCTCTCTTTTATAACTTAAAAATATCATTTGTGTGTGCATATGCATGAAGGAATGTGGAGGTCAGAGGACAGCATTGTGGAGTTGGTTCTCTCAGTCCACCTTTGCACAGTTTCTAGGGGTCAAAATCAGGTTGCCTAACTTGCATAGAAGTGCCCTCACCCACTGTCTTATTCTTTTTCTCAGTGGCATTACACTTCTGCAAACTCTGTTTTACTGCTTTAAAATATAATAATGAAAACGTTGGTAATTAAAATGGTGTTTAAAGATACAGTTTAAAATGTCTAGAGAGCAATAACATGCTGTGTTTTCGTGGGTAATGAATCATCACTTTTAATATGATTAATTAGGAGATTTAATTTAAGCTATGCACTTAAGGGAAGGCAGATAGTGGTTTTTGTATGTTTGTTTGTTTTAATCATTGGAATCTTATTAGTAGTTTCTTTTTCTGAGTAAGCAGAAAAGGAAGCATGCACTGTAAAGATACCAGTGAAGATATTATTCCTCTCCACCTCCTTCCCTGAGCTTGAAAAAAACTCCTTTATGTAACATCTAAAAAAAAATTAAGGCTTTCAAAGAGATGTTTCCTTGATGATGTGTGAGTACTACACTTATCTGTGGGTATAAGGACAAATATTTAGAATGTATTTAGGGATTATGCTCGTTTAATACATGTCAGTTGTAAATTCTTCTCCAGTAACCATGACTTCACTAGCCCTGGGTAGTTGGCTAGGTTTCCAGTACTAGACATGGTAGACATGATGAGTGAGTCCTCCGTCCAATTAGAGAGCTGTTAGCTACCACCAAGGTACTGTGCCTTTAGGGTTATCATGTCAGGCTGGTTGTGGTTCATAGGTGTCATACTGGGTAGGACTGTTTTCCTCCTTTGGGAACTCGCATGTCACAGAGCAAGGCAATTTTTGTAAAACATACTACTGGCTTTCAATATGTGAGTAGAACCTTTCCCCAAATAGTTATGGGGGGTTAAGATAAGCAAGTGCAGTAAATACTCTTCAAGAAGCTGGAATGAGCGATGTAAAGCTGAACAAGGGACTGGCAAGATCTTCTTCAGTGGGCAACCCAAGCCTGACAACCTGGGTTTCCTGAAAACACATGGCGTAGGACAGAATGAAAACCCATGTATTGTCCTCTGACCTTCACACACCTATGCCTATGCACATGCGTGCACATACAGACACAAATAAACGTAAAACTTTTTAAAGACAAATGTAAAACTTTTTAAAGACACTGAGCAGAGTTAGTAACTACACTGTACAGTGGACCTGTTCCACAGTGTAAGTTCAAGCCAGTTAATTGACTATTAGATAGATAAACCAAGATCAAAACAAAAATCCATAGTTGATGCAGTAGAGTACATGCAGTGTCTTGCACTGGTCCAAAAATTATTAGATCTTCAAAGCAGAAAAGAGTGATTTGTACTCAAGAAAAGTAAGGATTTACAAACAGATGCTGAATAGGTGCAAAGATTAGGAAGCCAATCTGTTGAAATAACTATAATAAATACATAAAGAATTAAAAAATTTTTTTTGAATAATTGCAAATATCAAATTCCACAGAAAGAACAAATAGGTAAATTTGGAATTGAAAACTATAATATCTGAAAAGAAAAAACACTAAATAATCCAAACCACAGATTTGAGAAAATAGAAGATTCTTTTAAAAAGTACTGAATTTTTAGATTGATAAAAATTGCCAATCCAAAGGACACAGGGGAGAAATAATGGAAACAAATCAGCAGACGCGCTGGCTTATGGTACACTGTCTAGTGTTTCAACACACATGTAAATGCAGTCTCAGAACGGAGAAAAAGAAGAGGTCATAAAACAAATGTGAAAAAGCCAATTGAAATCTGAGAGAAATTTGGTGGATGACAATAATTTTTATGAGAAGAATTTAAGTGAACTCCAGGTGGTATAAAGCTGCTGAAAGGCACCCAGGTGGGAGGGATCAAAGAGCAGAGGAAAACCAAATACACACAGGGACTTCATAACACACAGGGACTTCAGAGTGTCTCAGAAAATGGTGACCTCCAAGTGACATCCAAGTAGACACACAAAGTGCTGTCATGATTACCCATCACCCAGCAGTACTGCGTCCAGCAAAAATTATTCTTCAAAATTAAAGAGAAAGTAGAACTGTTTCTAGGTAAATACGTAGAAATAAAGTATTATAAGCAGATCTGCTCTACAGAAAATCCCAGTAGGAGTTCTTCAGGCTGAAGTGCAAGATGCCAGGACAGTGTCTGGAAACACACAGGAAGGAATAAAGAGTATAGAAAATGAGAGATATATGGAGAATTACCACATAAGCAAAGTCAGCACAAAATTCCAGGCATACTTGCCCTGCAAGGTACCAGTTCTCCGTAATGTTTGCTTTGGAAGGTACAGACAGAAATGAAGACTGCACAGAGCAGAGAACACGGTCTCCACCAAAAGCTGAGCGTCTGAGGGCTGTATCCTCCCAGCAAGGTGAGCAAAGGCATGCTGGAATGACCATAGACATCAGTCCCAGCCACTGTGGGAACTTCAGCTGTTTAACTCTAACTCGGCGTAGTCTGCCTGGGACCAGAAATGCCACTAGATGCTGTCAAAGTCAGACATCTTTCCCCCTTGGAAGAAAATCTTTCATTAGAAAACAAATTCTTAAATTTTCAAATACGATGCTTGTTGTTCAATCAAAGGTAACTAGGAACACATGTTAACTAGACCCCCATCCTCAACCACATCAGGGTTTTCCATGACCAAAATACCCGAGAAGAACTTAAAGGAACAGAATTTATTTTGCCTCTATGGTTTTAGACATCTTAGTCCTTGTCTCTGCTGAGTCTGGGCCTATAGAGAGACAGAGCATCATCATAGTGGGTTTGTGTGGTAGAGGCTGCTCAGCTCATAGCCAATAGTGGGGCTTGGAGTTGGAATAAGACACAGACACCCCCCCCCCCCCCAGGACTACCCTGCAAAACTACTTCCTCTAGCTAGGCCCATCTCCTAGACTCTCCATAACTTCTCAAAATAGTGCCAACAGCTGGACCTCTGTCCTTCAACAGTGAGCCTATAGGGACATTTCGTAATCATCACAACTTTAACAGGAGCTATCACAGAGAGCTAGCAGTAGGAACAGACTTCTTATTGGAATTTTACTATCGTATATAAACTGTAAAACATGCTTGGTATATTTAACAGTGTAAAAGACAGATTTGAAGATGGCTGGACACAAAATGAATATAACAGTAGGTGTGTTTGGAAAAGCTCCGTGATAGACTCTCTACAACTGTACTGCTTTATAGTTGAAGCTAGCAGTTCAGAGAGCTGTTGATAGCAGACTAGATACAAGTTAAATCAAGAATTAATGAGCAGAAGAAAGATAAGAAGAATCTTTAACCCTGCACACTGAAGCAAAAAAGGTAGTGTGTAAAGTAAAGACGGATGTAGAATGAGACAGTCCACTGTGTGTTTAATTATACGTCTTTGTGAAAAAAGGAAAAAGATGTATCTTAGGCTGTATTTGAACAAAGAGTTGCTGAGGATTCTAAGAAATGATGAAGCGCAATCTACAGATTCAAGAGGCACAATGAATTCCAATTCGGTGAGGCCCAAGTAAGATAAATAAAAAGAAATCTGTATCTTGGTGCATCAAAGTAATGGCTGCAGAATGAAAAGCAAAGAAAAAAAATCTTAAAAGCAACCAAGGGAAAAAATGACAGATCACCTTCAAAGAAGCAGCAGTAATGGAAATTTGAAGAGAGGCGATGGCATTGTCAGTGTGCACAAAGAAATAACTGTTAACCCCGGGACTTTGTAGCAACTGAAAGTCCCCTCAACAAAGAAACAAACAGAGCAGGGTAATCTACCGCTAGCTGTTTCCTATTAAGAGAAATTCCACCTGTACCCAGATAGAAGAGAGTGACCCCAGAAAGCTCAGAAAAGATTGATGGAGCGGGTGGTTGGATGCAGGTGACAGCAAAGGAGTACCCACTGCATGAAGCCGACATCGGGACTCTGGAATTAGTAATTACCACCAGCTGAGACCTGGAGGGTCCCTGTGTGACATTAAATGTTCAGTACTATGTAGGATAATAGGACTTCAAAATAGTAAGGCGAAATAGACAGAAATGAAAGAAAACGTATGTTCATGTTTTTAGATACATAATAATGTATAATAATCATTTCATGCTATTATTTATTATATTTTTTACCCTTTTCTGTGTCTTACATCAAGCAATTGAAATTTAAAAAAAAATCTACTTTTTGATATTATAAATGAACAACATTATCTTTAAGAAAACACCATTTTAAATTACTTCTGGTTTTATTTTGACCTGCTTAAAATTTAAAATATGCCTGAAATTCTATTGCCTAAATAACAATTTTCTTCAGCTTTTACAGATTTTAATTTGTCTTCAGTGTCTTTGTATTTTTATCTTTGTAGTTTGGTACATATTTTGCCAGTTTTCTTTAAGATAAATTGGTCAGTACTTGGTTATGATGTTAAACTATACATACAGTTTTAAGACTTTTGCCAGGAGACCCTTAGCAATCTATCATTTGCAGATCTGGTAGTGATATATGAGGAAACCTATCTATTTCTCGTAAGCATTCACCCTACTACACTTGCCCTCTAAAAATATTTTTTTAGATGCTAAAAATAATTTTTCATTTTGTTCTGCCTTTCCTTTGTTACTGATGAGATTAAACCTTTAAATGGATTTTTTTTTTCTACTTTTTTTTTTTTTTTTTTTTTTTTTTTTTTTTTTTTTTTTTTTTTTTTGGTTTTTCGAGACAGGGTTTCTCTGTGTAGCTTTGCGCCTCTCCTGGAACTCACTTGGTAGCCCAGGCTGGCCTCGAACTCACAGAGATCCGCCTGGCTCTGCCTCCCGAGTGCTGGGATTAAAGGCGTGCGCCACCACCGCCCGGCCTTAAATGGATTTTTAAACAATCTAAGATGGTTATATTTATATTAACGTTTATCAAATGTCTATTACTTGTTTGTATAATTAACAAAATAAACAAAAAGTCAGATTTGGTGAGGACTATGCGTGGATCCAGTCAGTGAGGTTCCAGGTAGATAATGATGTCACGGTTCCAGCTCTGTGATTTGGGGTACCTAACTAACCAGCCTTCTTCAGTCACTCTCTGATTTGTAGCTAGTCCACAGAACTGAAGAAACAAAGGTCTTGATTTGGGGCTAAGAATGCTGAATAGTCAGACAAAATAATTTGGGAGGTCATACTTTAGGGCCAGCATGTCTGTGATATCAGTGTATTGGAAAGATTTTTAATTTTCTTCTTCTTTGTTTCCAGAAACAACTAAATTTTACATGACAGAGATAATTATCCAGCCATCCGAGGGAAGTTTTCCTAACATACCAAGGTACAAATACCAAATCAAGTTATTGTATAATTTGAAATATGGGAAAGGGCAGGCACAGTGGACTGAGGGTGCATCTCTTCATAGCTCTGTTTGGAAAGGGATTTTTCCTTTTAAAGTCCCTGTGAGTGGCTTTAGATGAACCAAGCCACACATATACACAACTTGAAGACCTCTTTCTTGCTTATGTGGTGCTATAGACAAATGTGTTTATATAAATATAATTGGAGAAGGTGTTTTTTTTTCTTATCTTGTATTCTAAATATCTAGGATCGTAGGCTTTTGAATATTAGTTCTGGTTTTAATATTGACTTTTAAAACTGGAAACAGAGATCAGTTTCACAGGCACCTACTTTTTAAGAAGGTTACCTAGCCTTTAAATATATTGGTGTTTTCTTTTAATCTTTTTGTTCGCAAGCAAAAGTCACCTATAGTATATTGTGCTTGTTAGTTTTTGCCAACTTGACACACACTAGAGACACCTGGGAAAAGGGAACATCAACTGAGGAATTGCCTCTGTCAGATTAGCCTGTGGGCATGTCTGTGGACCATTTTCTTGACTAATGATTGGTGTGGGAGGACCCAGCTCACTGGGCAGTTCCCCCGAAACCTGGGCAGATGGTTATAGATAGTATAAGGAAGCAGGTTGAGCAGGCCATGGGAAACAGGCCAGCAAGCAGCATTTCTCCATGGCCTCTGCTTCAGTTCCTGACTTGAGTTCCTGCCATGGTTTCCCTTAATGGTTGTACTGGTTACGTTTATGTCAACTTAACACAAGCTGTAATCATCAGAGAGGAGGGTGCTTTGATTGATAAAATGCCTCTATAATGCTGACTGTAGGCAAGCATGTAGGGCATTTCTTTTTTAGTGATTGATGGAGGAGGACCCAGCCTATTGTGCAGGGGTGGTGCCTTCCCTGAGCTGGTGGACCTGGGTTCTAAGAAATCAGGCTGACCTAGGTCCTCTGAACGTATGTTACAGTTGTGTAGCTTGGTCTTCTAGTGGGACTCCTAACAATGGGAGCAGGGGCTCCCTGACTCTCTTACCTGTTTTTGGGACCCTTTCCTCCTACTGGTTTACCTCACCTATCCTTAGTAGGAGAGGAGGTACCTAGTCTTTCTGCAATTTGATACACCATGGCTGGTGGATACACATTGGAGGCCTGTCTGTTTCTGAAGAGAAAAAAGAAATAGATGGGGGAAGAAAAAGGGGAGGGGTTTGAGGGAAGAGACTGGGAGGAGAGGAGGGAGGGAGGGGAAAGTGTGATTAGGCTGGGGGGGGGCAGGAATTAATTAATTAATTAACTAATTAATTAATTAATTAATTAAGTTTTTAAAGAAAAACAAGAAAAAGAAATCAGGCTAAACAAGCCACGGAAAGCAAGTCAGTAAGAAAGCAGCACCCTCCATGGCTTTTGCATCAGCTCCTGCCTCCCTCTAGGTTCCTGCCCTGTTTGAGTTCCTGCCCTGACTTCTTTGCAGATGAACAGGGATGTGGGAGTGTTCACCAAATAAACCCTTTCCTCCAAGTTGCTTTGGGTCTGGTGCTTTCTCAGCGCCATAGGAACCCTATGTAGGACAATGATGGACCCTGAAGTGGAAGCTGAGTAAACCCTCTCCTCACTCAGGTTGTTTTCTGGCCGTGGTGTTTATCACAGTAACGGAAGGCAAATTAGAACATATGTGTTAATTGTTGATATTCAAAAGTTATGGCATCCTGAATATAAACCTGAATTTTATCCTCTTTCATGTGCCTTGACTCTCTACCTTAGAACTGCCCCTTAAGGCAGTTGAAAGGGAAAAGATTGTTGCTGATAGCGCCTTTGGGAGGAAATTCCTCACCTTCTTAGTTATTCACTGTCTGCTGTGATATAGCATGTGAAAGCCGGGTTGTTGTTGGTTTTGAATTCTGCAGATGAGGTGCATATGAGTGGCTTGTCTTGTTGCCCTGACAAAGTAACTAACAAAAGCAACTTAGGAAGACATTACTTCGGCTCACAGTTCAAGAGCGCAGTGATTTATGGCAGAGAAGTAATGGTGGCAAGACCTTGAGGCAGCTGGGGACACTGCTCAGGAAGCAGAGAGTGACAGATGCTTATGCTTGGCTTACTTTCGCCTTCTCATTCAGTCCAGGACCTTGGAGCATGGAACCGTGCCATCCAAAGTGAAGATGGGTCTTTCCATTTTAATTATTCTAGTAGCTAGTGGATAATCCCAGGGACAGAGGTTTGTCTCCTAGGTGATTTTACATCTTGTCAAGTTGTTGGTCAATAGGAACAGTTATGTTTGGGATGGAAAATATGTTAATGATAGCAAGATGAATTTTAAGAAGAATGGAACAAGCGCAAATACATTCTAATATTCCAAAGTGCATGTTAGTACAGGCTTTATAAAGAAATGGATGGTGGCCAGAAAAGCCCAGCACCTTTAGGTGCCTGTGAATCCTTCTAACTTTGTCTTGTTAGTAAGAATTATGAGAGGCACATGGTGACACTTGCTTTCTGTTCCGACAGGTCTCAGTTTGTTCAGAGTATTATTGCCCAGTGCCTGGTGGAACTCTCTTCTGCTAGAAGCACTTTTAGATTCACGATTCAAGGTCAGGATGGCAAAGTGTACATCTTGGTAAGGAAATCTTTCATCCACATTTTATGGCCTTGTAATCTAGGGTCTCAGAAATGTTTTAGCTTCTGTCATTCTGTTTTCTTACCTCTCAAGTCTCGAAACTAGATGATGACCATAAATTGAACTTTTAATGTCAGTTAATCCATAAATCAAGCTTACTTCATTTAATAACACATGACTGGGTACCTCTGTAGGTTCTGAGGATGCAGACAGAAGGAAAACCCAGTTTTTGTCCTTTAGAAGCTCATACTCAAAAATGATGCTTTTTACTCTTGGTAATGGCTCTTCTGGACAGAGCCACATCACTCTGTATCATTCTCCTCTCTTTGTCACTTTTAGCATTAAAATGTGATACTCTGTTTTTATTGCCATTGACAGCTTGGTATTTGAGAAATAGTAACAAGTTTGGAGAAGAAGCTGGCATTGGTGGATCTATAACCTCCATGTGCTGTCGCTGGGGCCAACATCATCCTGCCTCTGTTTAGAGTGATACTGTGCACAAGTAAATTTTGCCTATTTGTTTGGAAACCCAAACAGACTGGACCATACTCTTCTCTGCATCTGTTTTCTTCAACTAGTTAACGGTGCATGGCCATTCTTAATTGATGGTTCGGTGGTAGAATTCTTGCCTGCCACTCGGGAAGCCTGGCTAGCTCAGGCAGTAGAGCTTGAGACTCTTTTTTTTTTTTTTTGGTTTTTCGAGGCAGGGTTTCTCTGTGTAGCTTTGCGCCTTTTCCTGGAACTCACTTGGTAGCCCAGGCTGGCCTCGAACTCACAGAGATCCGCCTGGCTCTGCCTCCCGAGTGCTGGGATTAAAGGCGTGCGCCACCACCGCCCGGCCTAGCTTGAGACTCTTAATCTCAGGGTCATGGGGCTGTGCCCCACTTTGGGCGCCAGGTAATAGGATACCAGGATAATGGAATTAATCCATGAGTCTATTTAATGAGCAAAGGAATTTATTTGGGGGTTAACTCACAACCACAGGAGATTTATCATAAGGTCTGGGAAAGTTGAGCTATGCCCCATGCTGATCTGCCTGGTCCAAGATCTCAGCATCCAGAACCATAAGGTAGCAAAGAGAGAGCTGAGTATGGGCATCCCAGGTCTTAAAGGTAACCCCCAACAGCAGTCATGCCCCAGGGGCATATACATCAAGGTTATAGGCAGGTGTAACAGCTACCTGCTACCTAGGGGTGGTGCTTCAGGGCATGGTTCAAACAACCACTCATTACATCCCTATACAGAGTGCTTCTTATTTGAAAAAGACTTTTCTGGATGTTCAAGGTCTTTAGGAATGTCTTTAGGAAACTCACAGAGTTTCCTAAATTAGTGTTAGGGTTTTTTTTGTATATGCATGCATGTGTGAGTACTCATATGTTTGGAGATCAGGGGTCCATGTACAGTGTCTTCCTTTTTTTTTTTTTTTTTTTTTTTTGAGATGATCTGTCGCCAAGCCTGAAGCTCAGCCAATTCAACTGACATGTCCAGTGAGCCCCAGGGACCCACCTGTCTCTGCCCACTACACTGCAGAGATTGCAGCCACATGCTGCCTGCCCCTGGTTTTCACATAGGCTCTGGAGATTGAACTTGGGGCCTCACTCTTGCATATCAAGCACTTGATCACATGAACTATGTTCCTCATCCTGGTTTTCTTGTATTGAAAGATTTTCTAGTTGAAGATCATCTCTTAAATTTTCTTAACATTGAAATTTTGTTTTTCTTACTTTGCTATAATACATTTTAAAAATATATTTGGACAATAGGAAGAATTGAAAATGCTCTTTCCCCTGTCCCGTCTACTCCCCAAGCCTAGTTATGTCATGCTTTCCAGAGGCAATCATAGCAGCTTGATATGTATGTATATATAAAACATGCATTTTCTACCCATATGCAACTGTTTCTGGGAATTCTCACAGATACTTGAGTTTTTAATGAAAAACGAAACAGTGTTACATTATTAGCTTTTCAGTTTCATGTAACAATGAGGATTGTTTCTTGTTGGTAGCAATGTGGGTTGAAGTCTATTCTTTAATGCCTGGAATTCTACTGTATGGCCACTAAAGCCAAAGCACAAGAAAACAGTCATTACATGTGCATTTGTTACTTCCTTAGGTGTGGACCCTCTCACTAAATTCAGCATTAGAAAATGCATATTTTAAGACCAGATAACTATCACCCTACATAAAAGCTGGATGAATTCATCTCTTCTGTTGTGCCCCACACATTCTGTTGACCAGGCCGGTGTACCCATTCACAGCTGCTGACTATGGAATGCCTGTGGCTCACAGTTGCCCCTTCTGTAAAGACTTGCCCTTTATGACAGGCTTTGCCTCGCCCAGGAAGTTCTGCCACTGTTGGTGCTTTGCTCTATCTCTTAAGTGTAGTGGAAACACATAAATTTACCTACCTCCCTGTTAGTTACCTGGACATTTTTATTGTTCATCTCATGCCTGCATTCTCTTTCTATTCTTTGCCTATCATCTCTTACATTGTTGGACCCCTCACTGATGTCTGGGAGCTCCAAATATTTCAGATTAATTGTAGCATTGTCATTTATATAGTAAATGTCTTTCCCTAGTCAGTTTTTTAAAAACTTGATATGGCTGCTGTCCATGCTCCACTGTTTATATATAAAATACCAAAGAAAACCCACCTACCCTACACAAACACACACACACACACACACACACACACACACACATATATATTTCCCTGTTACTGTCTGTGGGTTTTTGTAGTGGCGATATTCAACATAGAGATAGTAGCAATATTCTCCTCTGTGGACTTCTCTTCCCATACTTTAGCTCTGGATTTTAAACTCAGACAGTTTGGTGGTCGAACCTCTGAGAAGTTCCAGGTGTGTCAAGAAGTTCCCACTGTTGGAAGATACATCGGAAGCTGACTCGGGCTCTGCCTGCAATGCCATCAAAGTCCTCTACCATCCCTGCATCAAAAGCAGGAATGAAGAGTAAGTTGCGCTTTTATTTTCTTCTCTCCCTTGTTGCGTTTCAACTGAGACCGCCATGTTGGCCCTAAGAAATCAATGAGTTAAGTGCTCCTTGATGCTGCTAGGAGTCCCAGCGCTAAATATTATGCTTTGCAAGTAGACAGAGTTGGTACAAATAATTCCTACCAATGTGCGAGAACTTGCTTTTCCTGAAAATAATTAGCCTTTTTTGTTTGTTTGTTTGTTTTTTATGATCTCAGCTGTCTGTGCATATGGCCACTGTGCTAAGGCAAGCTTCAACAACTCTGAGCACTTCCTAAAGCTCTTTGCAGGCTTTCAGGGTACGGCAGTATGTGAGCAATGCCCACCTTTGGGTATGCCTTTGTAACGTGGGAGCAGACAAGAAACAAAGCAACAAAAACATTAAAGAGACTTCTATGACTTCTGTGCGCCTGGTGCACATCTGAGCCCACCTGAGCATCCAGCTCACCTGAGGCTAAAACAGCTTTGCGAAGTAGGTGCTTTCTTGACCCAAGTGTTAAAGAGCAGACTTCTAGGATGTAGCCGATGAAGTACAGAAAAGTGGAAGCGAGTGAGGGAAACGGTACTTAGGAGGTTGCAGTTCTGTGCTGAAAAGCAAGAGGTTCTTCAGTTAACGCGGTGGTAAGAGGAAACTCGGAGGAAGTGAAGCCATAGGGCATGTCTGGTGAACAACAGTCCGCAGAGCAGGAGACATCAAGTCTTCCAGTTGGACAGTTAGAAGTTTATACTCGTTCTCTGCTCTCTGATGAGTTTGATAAAATGTGTGGTAGGGACAGAAAGATCCCAGTGTTTTTTTCTGGGTAGTAAATAAGACAGTTTTTAAAATTAGCGCTATTTTTTTAAAATTATACAAGCAGCGCAAGCCATAAAAGATTCAAATAAACTGAAAATTTGAATATGTATAAACCATGAAAGTCATGTTCCTCTCCATGAGTAAAGTGTGTTGCGTATTCAGTTCTTGTTTGTATTCATTTTGCGTGGACATAATTTGGATGATAGGCATATGTCTTTTCACACTTAACATGACTAAAACCCTTTCATTGGAGGGTCTTCGATGCATATGAAACAGATAAATGGTCAATAATTTAACCACGTTTTTTTCATGCTTAGATATTTGCATTCTTGCTTTTTGCTATTATAATTAATGTAGGACTAACTACTGTTGCATAGCTGTTTTCTGATTATGTGTACTTTGTTTTAATAAGGGGTTTACAGAGGTATAACTGTTGACTTGAGAGGTATGGACATTACAAATTTTTGATGGATAATCTCAAATTGTTTTGTGGAATGACACTGCAAGCTTGTGCTGTGACCTGGAGTTTCTTCCTTTGTCCATTTCCCTAGTTTTATTAAGATTAACATTTAGATTTTTGCCCACATGATGCCATCTAAACAACACATGTTCAGTTGATTATCCTTATGTATTATTTAGTAATGTTCAAGAGCAAGAAATTGCTTCTGTGTTTTCTACATTGAGCCTTCGAAGTGGCTAATAGATGGTCAACTTTTAAGCTGCCTATTGGTCATGTTCTCTGTTGATGTGTGCCTGTGCCATTATGTATTTAGATTTATATAGTCACTTATTAAAAATCCCTTTTTTTGTATTTTTTTGAAACATAGTCTTGAGAAAGATGTTTTAAATCTCAAGTAGTATAATTATAGAAATCATTTTTTGTGGTTTTAATGTCAAGTTTTTCATTTTATAATTTGAAGTTATGTAACTAAATGCATGTTTGTGGCATGGCCATTTACCTTGTTGCATACTTCATGAATAGGAGAGTTGTTTCTTTCCCGTTGATGCTAATTTTGTTTCTAGTTGGTCCTGTGTTGATGTTGCTATATTTTATTGTATTTCATTATTTTCATCTGCCCTGTGTCATTTTATCTTAAGTGTGTGTTTCATTAATTTATACTCTGTAAGTGGCATGTGGCTGTATGTTTTAAACTTCCAGTGAGAGTGACTGTATCTTTGTTTTTATTTTAATGTTTGTTTGTTTGTTTATTTGCTGTGAATGAGTGTGAGTGCATTGGTGCCATGGTGGGGCAGCATTTTGGGAACTGTTTTTTTTTTTTTTCTCTCTTTGTTTTGAGGCAAGCTCTCCCTTGTTTCTGTTGCTGTGCTGGCCAGGCAGCTACTGGATGATTCTCTTCTCTCCACTTCCCATCTCACCAAAGGAATGCTGGGATTACAGATATGGACCACTATCTCCATTTGTTTTCACATGTGTTCCCAGGACCAAACTTGGGTCCTCAAGCTTGTGAAGCGAGCACTTTTCCCCACTGAGCTGTCTCCTTAGTGTAGTTCTCCCTGTTTCGGTGGTGGGTTTAATTTCATTTCTTCTTCTTTTTTTATTATCAGCTTGATACAGTACAAATTCTTATCCTAACAGTGAAATGTTTCACTGAAGCTTGCCCAGTGATTGAGTAAAACCAAAACTTATTATAAGCCACAGTCATCCTAGGGTCCCCCCTGCTATGTAGCCTCCCTGGTCCTGTGGGTTGCAGTCTGATTGTTCTTTGCTTTATATCTAGTATCCACTTATGAGTGAGTACATACCATGTTTGTCCTTCTGGGTTTGGGTCATCTCACTCAGGGTGATATTTTCTAGTTCCATCCATTTGCCTGCAAATTTCATGCTGTCATTGTTTTTCTCTGCTGAGTAGTACTCCACTGTGTATATGTACCACATTTTCTTAATCCATTCTTCAGTTGACGGGCATCTAGGTTGTTTCCAGGTTCTGACGGAGCAAAGGGAACACTCCTCCACTGTTGGTGGGAGTGCAAACTTGTACAACCACTGTGGAAATCAGTATGGCGGTTTTTCAGAAAATTGGGAATCGAGCTACCTCAAGACCCAGCCATACATACCACTGTTGGGCATATACCCAAGGAATGCTCAATCACAACACAAAGATACATGCTCAACTGTGTTCATAGCAGCTTTATTTATAATTTCATTTTTTTTTATTGTGATTATTCATATACTTGGATGTAGTCCCCTGTCTTTTAGTTAGTGGCTTTCTCTGTGTCATTACTGTCTTCTGATTATTTGAGAGTAAAAAAAAAAAAATGCCAATTTCAAGATGGTTTTCATGGTTAGCCTAAAATTTTTAATGCACATATTTAAGCGAATTTCCTTTTACTACTAATTTCTTGACTTAAGTAGCATTTGTGCTCTTCAGTGAAACGGAGTTTCTGGCTCTCCTCTTATTCCTTCTCTGCTATTCCCTTGGCTGTGTTGAAAACTGCTGTAATTCTGATGATTATGACCACATTTCTTCACCTATCCAGCCAAAGTCTGCCCCCTTAGCTTGCCTCTTAGGCATTAGATCCATTAACATATCCATATATATAGTTGTGAATTCTATAGAAATTAGAATGTTTTTGCTGTTTTATAAACATTCATAAATCTTATTGTACTCTGCATTTTCATAACTTGTTTTTTTTTGTTCAGTATTCCTTGTTTTTTTTACTTGATAAGGTACATTCTTTTTGTTTGCTTTTCTTTTTTCAATTTTTAAAATTTGTTTTTATTTATGTGTGTAGTGTTTGCATGTAGGTGTACCATGTATTTCCCTGTGCCCAAGGAGGCCAGAAGAGATGGTCAGGTTCATTCGAACTGGAGTTAAAGATGTCTCTGGGAAGTTTTGTGGGTGCTAGTCACAGAAGCTAGGTCTTCAGCAGGAAGAGCAGGTGCTCTTAACCACTGAGCCATCTCTCCAGCCCCTGGTATTTTTGTTTTTGCTTTTGTTCTTTGAGACAGGATCACAGTCTGGTACCATTGCTGGCCTGGAACTCACAGTATAGTCCAGACTGGCCTTCAATTCTTGATGATCTTCCTGCCTCACAGAGTATTAGAGATGTAGTTATGATAAATCGACAGTTTGATAAATTATACTTTCTAGCTGTTCTTCCACATTTATACTCTATCTACTCAATTCTTTAATATTTGAAAGTTTCTTATACCTGCTCTGTCTCTCTGAAACAACTAAACATCTTTTTAAAAAGTTTAGTGTATGTGTGTATGCATGCTACAACATGTGAGTGGAAATCAGGACAACCTGTGGGAGTCAGTTCTCTCACTTTATATGTCCTGGGGATTGAACTCGGGTCCTCAGGCTTAGCAGCAAGTACTCACTGGGATATCCCACCAACCCTGGAAATTCGGTAAGATATTCTCTTTGGTTGTCCAAGATTTCATATAGGTGTATTGGAATGGGCAATTGTACAAAAAAAATTGTCATGTCATGCCTCTTCTTAAGGATATGATTGATACCCTCTTGAGACTAATAATTATTCTTAAACCTTCCTATTTTCTCAATTCACTTTTTTTTCCTATATTAACTTTTTTTTTTCCAGTAGAGAGTTTGAGTTCAGTGCCTTTTTCTCGTGGCTTTTCTCTTCCCATATGTTCCCTCCTATACTAGGATGGGCACTCTGGTAGCTAGGACTGCCTCTGTCCTGCTCACCTTGCTTAGGAAAGAGCTCAATGCAGTGTCTTTGTACAGTGACAGGGGGTATTTCTTTGTTTGGTAATTGAAGTTCCTCTGCTAGTGACTGTAGATTCTTGGTACCATAGCCTGCCTTCATGGACCAGAGAGAGAATTAAGAAGGATGGACCAGTAAAGATGCAAGATGTACCACTTTGCTGGTTTTGTTTTGTTTTGTTTGTGTTTTGGACAGGGTCTCCTGTAACCAAGGCTGACTTGAAGCTCACATTTGTGGTGATATACTGTGTACCCTAATAAACTTGCATGAGGATCAGAGGACAGAGCCAGCCACTAAATTAGACATAGAGGTCAGGCAGTGGTGGCACACACCTTTAATCCTGTCGCTTGAGAGGCAAAGATCCATTTGGAGCTCTGTCAGTTCAAGGCCACACTGAGCTACATGAGAGAAACAGAACCAGGCAGTGGTGACAGGAAGTAATATGGCAGGACACAGAAAGGTATATAAGGCTCGAGGAAACAGGAAGTAG